CGTCATCATCATCATCTGAAAACGAAGAAAGAGGAAAAAAATTTTTTGTTATTCAAGAGAAAAATAATTCTGTTCCATCAAATTGAATGTTCATCATCATCATCATCAATGATGATTTATTATGGTCAATGTTTGATTTCTTTAGGTGTGTGTGTATGAATGAAATGATTGAAATGAAATAAAAGTCATTTTTTTTTCACTTGATTAATCAAGTGATAACCCTTTTGTTTGTGTATGATTTGTTAATTTGTTGTTGCTTTTGCTGAAAAAAAAAACAAAACATACCGGCTTTTACATCCTTGTTGTTGTTGTTGGCCATTGTGTTTTTCCATCAACAATAACACATATACACAACAAATTAATGGCTCATCTTCATCATCATCATCATCATGGTCCATTAAGTTTCTGTTTTTTTTTCGGATGATGATGATGACCAATATGTTAAGAATGTATTATTTTACCAATGTGTGGGGAACAACAAAAAAACATTTGTCATTTAACACATTTTCACCATCATCATCAAAAAAAAAAAAAACCGTAAACAACAGTAAATAACATTAACCGAGCACATTTTTCAATCAAAGAACAAAGTGGCAGCAGCAGCAGCAAAATTTTTCTTTCTTTCCTATTCGTTTTCAGAACAAGAAAAAAAAATTTTTTTTTTCTTGAAACAAAACAAAACAAAAAAAAAAAAAAAAAATTTCCTCTTCAATTTATAACATTTTTTTTTGTCATTGATGATTGTCATTTGTTTTGTTGTTCACTATCGTTGTTCATTCAGTCGATTGATTCGTCCATCACCATTGTTGTTGTTGTTGTTGTTGTTGCTGTATTTATATATCACTTTTTATTATCTATGGACAAGATCTATATTTATAAAATGAAACATTTTCTTCTTCGTTTTTGAAATTGAAAGATTTTAAATTACCGGTATTTTTTTTATTATTATTATCATCATCATCTTTATCATCCTTTTTTTTAACAATGAACATTGATTTCTCAATCTGACCAGCAGAAAAAAAAAACGAAAATGTCAGACAGACACAGGTGATGTTATGTTATTATTATTATGGCTCCAATTTCCGACCGTTCTTAGTGTGTTGTTAAAATGTTGTTGTTGTCGTCGATAAAGATTTTGTTTCCCGGTTTCGATTTTCGGATTTCTTTTCCATCACTTTTTTTTTTTTTACACAAAAAGAGATTCTTAAGATTTTTTTTTTTTTTTTCTTTCTCACTTTTATCATCACTCTCACTATGTTGATTGTTTGTATCGTCGTAACAAATATATAATATGTTATAATTCTCAGAAAATACAAATCATCACGACGACGATGATATAATAAAAATCCATAAATAAACAACAATGATCAATCAAATCAATCGATTCGATTTCGATTCGAATTCAAGACAATTTTTTTGTTCATCCTGGTCGTTTTCTGTGCTTCAATTATCAACATCATATATATTCATTTGGTTCGTTCAGCCACAAATTACACTGAAAAGAAGAAAAAAAAAGTCGGTAATAATAACGATTACGGGCAAGAAAAAAAATGACTACCATCATCATCGAGATGATTTTTTTTTCTGGAAGAAAAATTGGAATAAACACAGCAATCATTCTACAAGTGTGTGTGTGTGTGTGCCTGTCGACAATTCGCAGTTAATTAATCCAAGATTCCAATATTGATCCAGTCTATGGTATGATTAGCAGTTGTTGCCATCATCGTCATCATCATCATCATTCATCATAATCATGAATGATGACGATGATGATGATGATTGTGTTTTTTTGTTGTTAGATATTTGTTCAATCAGCTGATGTTCATCATCATTTCTGGACCAATCATCCAATGATTTAAATTATTACACAAGACAATGTTTTTCATTTTGATGTATAGAAAAAAAATATGTTACCCGTGTTCTTTATATATGATATATATCAAAACAACAACAACAAAAAATGACAGGAGGACAGGTGATGAACGAATGCGCGAAAAAATAAATATATCGATTCGATATTTTGCCGAAAATTATAGCATCCATTTTTTTTGAAATGATGACGATGATGATGATGATGGGTTTTTTTTATTTGTATTCAATCGTCAAATAGTGAAAAGATTAACCTATAAAAAAAATAATGTCTCCCTCCCCTGGAAGAAAAAATTTTTCACTAACCAACCAAACGATGATAAAGTTCATTTGAAAATATGAAAATAACGTTAGATATGGATGTCTCACAAATTTTTTTTTTTGGGCCACTCAATCATTATCAACTCACTGATGATGTTATTTTCATGTCGATCTTTATGATTTTCATAACAATAATGATGATCATCATCATGATGATGATGATGATGTGTTCATGCCATAATAGATTTGATTATCCATAATAACAATACAATATATACCTGAAGGAAAAAAAATTGAAAAAATAATTGAAAAAAAATTATGTGAACAAAAACAACAACAAAAAATCACATAATTCACATATAATGTTACGAATTTTTTTTTTGTTTTGTTCGTTCAACGATGATAATGATTTCTTTATGGGTGGATCATCATCATCATCATCATGAAATGGTTGAGATCATTAACATAATTCTATTCAAAAGAAAATGCAGCAAAAAAAAAAAAAAAATCCGATCAATGAATTTTTGAAATAAAAAATGAAATTATTTTTTGATTATGGTGGGTGTTACATCCGTAGGTGTTTATGGTTACAATGACAATTGGAAAAATGAGGAAACAAAACAAATATAATGTGATGATGATGATGATGATAATTTGATTGTTATGATGTACGCAATAATCGATCACAATAATCGATTGTTGTTTGATTTGAAATCACGAATCAATAATAAAAAAAACATCCAAATCTAAATACTTAATTTTGATGATGATAAATGATTTTTTCAATAATCAGTCACTTTATCATCATGATCATCATTTGATTTATGGTGATAAAATAACAATAAATCGATGATTATGATTTCAATTTGATTTGATTTGATTCGTTTGTTCAAAATTGCCACACACACACACACACACACACTAACTAATTCTCAGCAGTTAATTGTTATTATTCAAATCAAATTCAATCCATCTGATTTCCGGATTCTTTTCGTTTTTTTTGTTTTATTCGAATCTCGAAAAAAAAATAAAATAAAATAAGTTATAATTGCAAATGGAAACTTTGACAAAGCCACCACCACCACCACGACGACAACAGTAACAGTAATAATAAAAAAAAGCCCGATCATCAGGTTTTTTGTCCTGTTGAATGAATGAATGAATGATGACCATACAAGGCTTCATCACACCACATCATCATCATCATCATCATCATCTTTATACACTAAATCCAAACAACAGAAGAATTTTTAACCACTAACTTTGTGGATTATATATATGATGATGAATTATGATTCGAGAAAAAAAAAAAATCCATAAAGATTTACGAGAGAAAAAAAAATGAAAATGAAAAACAAAACAAAACAAAAATCTAAATCTCAATGTGTACGAACATCAAAAAAAAAAAAAAAAATTGATATTCAAAACCAATCAAGATGAGCAATTTTTTTCAGACGATGATGATGATGATGATTGATTGACTGAATGATGATACATCGATACATCTTTTTTTTCCATTGACTGACTCATTGACCAAACCGATAATGTTCATCATCATCATCATCATATATTTCTCAACGAGTGAATAAATTTTCTCCATATAGAAAAAAAAATCTGATGAAAAATAATGACGATGATGATGATGATGATGATGGACCAATTGTGGCTATATATAATGGTCAACAAAATAAAAAAAAAAATTATTGGCTAAAATTGGCTTTTTTTCTTAGTTCCACTTCATTGTTGCTGTTGTTGTTGATTAATTCGCACGATAGTAAACTGACCGCACTCATCATCATCATCATATTGCACACACACACACACACACACACACACGCATATCTAGAAATAATAAATGAATGTAAAGTGGAGAAAAAAATATGTGATCGGCGGAACAACAACGAAATTTCGAATCTAAAATCAATTGATTTGATTTGATCGATTCGATTGTATATTGATGATATTTATCGATTTTTTGGATGAAATCGATTGATTTTTTCTTTCTTTCTTTCTTTCTATTTCCATTTCTTCATTGTCCAATAATCATCATCATCAATATATGGAAAGCAAAATGGTTTTCTTGTTGTGTTAACTGTTAACCAAACATCAACAACAACAACAACAACAACAAAATGATTTTCTTCTCAATCACTCAAGAAAAAAAAGCTAAAGTTTTCAACAATTTCAAATTTGAAATAAAAAAAAAAAAAAAAAAACAAAACAAAGCAACGTGTGGTGGTGGTGGTGGTGGTGGTATACGCACAAATGTAGTTATTTTTGGGTAATTATTATTGTACCGTATATAACGAATAAATAGAAAATGAATGAATGAATGAATGAAGTAAATAGAAAACTTGCGTCTTTTTTTTTATCCAGTTTCCATAACTGGTAACTGGATAATAATTATCACAAATTCATTCAGCATTTTTTTTTATTTCGTCATGTGTGTTGTTGATAGATCTTGTTGTTGTTGTTGTTGTTGTTGTTGTTTTGAATGATGAAACAAAACAATGATGATTATGATGATTGAGATGATGATTAAACGATAATGAAATTCATATATTTCAGTGGAAAAAGAAAAGCGTGACCATTTTCTTTCTGTTTTTTTTTTTTTTTTTCGAATGTTTGAAACAAGCACACACACACACACACACCAATCGATTATGACTAATCCACAAATGATGTGTGTGTGTTTTTTTTTGGTATATGATGCCCGAAAATAAACAAAAAGCAAAAAAAAAAATTTTTTTTTTTGTTCAACAACAAAAAAAATGTTAATTAAGAGTAAATATAAATAATAAAATTCGACAAAAATAATAATAATAATAATAAATACAGCAAATTATAATAAGAAAATGAAAACGAGGATATGATAATCAAGTATATCAAATTGAGTGTAATGATAATAATAATAAAAATGTTTGAATGAAAAGAAAAACAACAAAAACGGCGGGAATTATTGATTCAATTCGAAAAAAAAGAGGTAAATCGATAATGCGGGGGCGTAATGCAATATATCTTGAAGTTGTCTGTTGTTGGTTTAATGTTTTTTTTATGGATAAAAATCTTTCACTAGAGATTGAATGATTGAGTAGTAGGATAATAGGATTAATAACTAAATTTTCTGCCTTGGCCAAAAAAAAGAGACTAAATAATGGTGCTTTAGAATGATTATGATTATGATGACGATGATGATGATGATGATGATAATTTGATTTGATTTAATAAATATTCCAATGATATTTAAATCAAAGGATTTATCAATATATCTTTCACCAGGAGAGATTATTCAAATCAAGTTTGGTTTTTTTCGTAAAACACAATAATTTCAGTTTATGATCTATTACTGTAACGAATACGTCGTACTGATTTCGGTGATGATGATGATGATGATGATGATCTATAAACAGTTTTTACTCTGGTTGATGATTCATCATTATCATCGTATGATGATTCTGGTGCCACTTGTGATACAGCATCATCACCATTTGATGATGCAGCTGCATATGAATCACCATAACCATCATAATCACCATGATATGGTTCAGGATAAACATCTTCATAGGTTTGATGTACATATGTTGGACTCTTTTCCACAACTTCTACATGATCTTTTTTCTGGATTCTATATATCAAAAATAAGTTTGAAGTTGAATTTTTGTTTCATAATAATTCATTGATAATTTTACCTCAATGGAATTGGGATCGGTAACGGCAATGGTAATGGGATGATTTTTGTTTCTATTTTGAAATTAAAAATTAATAAACAACAACAATTTAAATGAGAAAAAAACATTATTAAATGTAGTCCATACTTTTATTCAAAAGTGTCGTAAGAAACAATAATTTTTGTAGCCATTTTTTACGTGCACTAACAGCGGTCATTTGATCTTGAATCAAAATCATTTGCAATGCAACGATAGCCAAAAATGCCAATGAAATTTTATTACGGAAAAGCATTTTGTTTGTTTGTTTGTTTTTTTTTTTTGATCTAAAAATTTGAAATTAATTACCAAATCAATGATGATTTCAAAAAAAAATTCAAAGAAAAATCAACTTACATTCAAAACCACTGAGAAAAAATCTGATTAAATGATGATTATGTGATTTGATTTTCTGAAATAAAAATGATGATGATGATGATGAACTTTGTACGTGCAACATTGATCATTTATATAGTCGTGGTATTGATGATGATCCATTCTCATTAAATCATTCTTGTTGTTGTTGTTGATCTAGAATTCTCTTCACTTTACTTGTTCATCAGTAAATAAATGAAGATCATGGATGATAGAAATCAATATACACACACAAACACACACAAAGTGACGGTCAATATATAATCAGCAGTGACACTGCTACTTGGTGAAATTAATTGATCACTTTACTAAGAGAAGAAAATCAAGTTATAGTGATGATAATATCTTCATTTTCATCTTTGGGGTCAAATATGTTGGAAAAGGAAGAAGAAAAAAAACATCTTTGTACCACCATTATGCAAGTATATGTCATTGATTATGATCACGGATGCTTAACCTTAATAAATCTTTCTTTTTCACGAAAATTTTTTCATTTCTTCAATTTCATTTTTTTTGACTTTGATTTTTTCATTTCATTTTCATATTCACCTTATTTTTTTTTGCTTCAATCAAGATCAAATTCGGAAGTCAAACACACGAATATCATCATCATCATCATCATCATATGGAACGGTCATCGCGATTGATGTGTGTGTGATATTTATCACACATCATCATCAATATTTTCACTTGTAAGATTATGACAAATATTTAGTGTTTCTGGATCATCATCATCATCAGCATCGTTTTGTTTGTTGAAAAACTATCGTTCTTCCTTCTGTTGAATGTTGAATTTGAATAATTTTTTTTTAATTCGTTATTGATTAAAGTAACATACCTTTTTCATTCGGATTAAATAATGATGATGATGATGATGATGAGGAAGAAATGATGATCACCATCAAGATAAGTTCAGTGGTCATTCAAAAAAAAAAAAAAAAAATGTTTTCCAATTGATTATCATCATCAGCCAATAACAACAACAAGTGTCGAACTTTTTTTTTCGAATGTTTTTGTGTGTGTGTTTCGAACATTTACCACAGGTGGCGCTCAAACTAGGATTTATTCAAATTTCTATAATCAAAGAATTGTTGTTTTTAATTTAAAAAGAAAAAAAAATCTTTACTAAATTAATTACTTTATGATGATTAGAGTGATGATGATGGTGATCCAGAAAAAAAGGTGTCAATCACACACACACACACATAGGTTGCAATTACAACATTGTCATCTTCAACATATTTAGGTCATCATCATCATCAGTTGACAATTCTGATGAAGATTTCCATTTTTTTATTATTTCGTTTCGTTTTCGTTGAAATGAACTTCTTGTTGTTGCTGCTACGGCTGCTGCCATTGTACAACGACAATAATGTTGTTATTATATTCGATTCGATTCACGATTGACATCACGAGATGTTTGTAAACAACAAAAACAACAACAACAACAACAACAGCATCATGGCCATAATACCCGGTAGTTTAAAATGGATTTTTTTTTGTATACAAAAAAAAAAGATTGATTGCATGATAATAATAATCATCATCAGAAAAAAAAGAAGAAGAAAAAAAAACCTGTACATTTTGCCAGATTTTTGGTTATAATATGATACCAGCTGATCATCATCAGCTGACCAAATGACAGCAACAAAACAGCAACAACAACAACAACAACAAAAAGAACTTAATAGTAACACACTATACTCGTATTTCTGAAACGAAAAACGGGAAAAAAATTCAAATTGAATAAGCAAAATCAAAATGAAAATGGAAAACATTTTGAAAATTGATCATCCAGATTATTGTAACAACAACAACAACAACAACAACAACAACAACTGTTTTCTGTTATTGAATGACGGAACCAAAAAAAAAAAAAAAAAAACAACCACCACCACCACTGAATAACAACAATAGACCCTTATTTTTTTCAAAATACAAATCAATCTTATTTAAAGTTTCAAATTATTTTTAGAAATTCATTCATTTTATTATTCAAATTCAAATTCAAATCAATCAATCAACCAATCAATCAATCACAATTGTACACTTATATACTTAACCATCGATCGATGTTCAAGGCTTCATTTTCGTGTTTTTGTAAATGATTATGATGATGATGATGATGAAATGATGAATTTTCGCCTGTTGTTTTCGATTTCCATCATTCATTGAGATTCGATTATTAAATGCGGAAATTAATTTTGTTAAAAAGTGGAAGAAAAAATGTTTTATTTTTCATTTCCTTTTCTGGATATCAAAAAGAAAAAATTAATACTTAGTAAACAGTCAATTGTTCGAATTTTTTTTGTCGATTGAATTAGATTTATTCGAATTTTGCTGGTTTGCTGGCCAGTGGTAAACAAAAACGATCGAACAAACGACAAAATATGATTTGATTTTTTTTTATATATCGAAATAAATAGTGATGTTACTATCGATTTTGATCAGAATATCGATTATTATCATTGTGATGATGATGATGATGATGAAATAAAACGGATACCATCGGTATACCATGGAAATATGGTCAACAACCAGGATTTGAATGTGAAGAATTTCAATTGGCAATCGATAATATGTTATTATTCAGTTATGGTTATCTAAAATTTTATTATGATTCAAAAGAAAATAATTTAATCATTTCAGGTTGAATATGCAATGAAATCAAATTATTCATCATTATCATCATTATTATTAGAAGAAAAAGAATTTATTATTGAAATAAAATGGACATCGAAAATATTTCTACCAGATCCATATCATATTGATCTATGGAACGGTAAACAACGTAAACAATTGAATTTTGAACCACAATGGTGGATAAACAATGGTGGTGAACATATGATTATTAGAAAAGGAAAAAATCAACAAATTACTTTGTTCACTAAACCGGTACCAGAACAATTCAAATCGAATAGAATTTGGTTATTTGAATTTTTTGGAAATGATGAAAACAACAACAACGGTAAATCGATGAAACGTAGTGGTCAATTATGTGAAAATGAATCCGGTGATAATGGAAAATTATTACTATCATTTATAAATGATGAACCATGTAACCATTTTCCATATGTTACTATTGTTGCCGATATTGTACTTATATATGAAAAATATTTGTATATATTTTTTCCAAAACACGTTGAAATACTTACCAATTGGCATTCATGTAATCCATTCCATACAATGGTAAAACAATGTGAAATTGATTATAAAGAGGTCAGTTATGAAGATTTTTTCATTTGTAGACCACCAGATTCATTTGATGATGATTGTTATCATAGTAATTAAATTAATGGTTTCATTTTTTTTTATCAAAAATTTAAAAATCAATCAATTTTAGACGTGTGTAAGTGTGTGTGTGTGTGGAAGTTGTGTTGTTGTAGCTCTCTAATGCCATGAATGATCGATGAAATCGAATCAAATTATTGAAAACAATAATGATGATGATGATGGGGCGAGTAGGTTAATGATGAATGAGAAAAAAAGTTTGTGGTGTGAATGTGGTGTTCGTATTAGGTTTATGTTGTTTTTGTTAAGCATGAAGTGCTAAACGAAATATATCATGTTCGACAAAAAATGTATCACCCATCGGTTTCAATACAAAAGTCTGATTAAATGTATGCGGTGGATCATCGTCAGTTTTAAGCTGTCCCAATACGGTGACCAAAACACCACCATCAAATGTTGGCTGTGAATCAATAACGGTTATTAAATGTTGTATCTTTTGAAATGTGAGACTTTGAAATTTTTCCAATATCTTTGCACGACCCATCAGTTGACTACCTTCAAATGTCATTAATGAATTTGTTTCCTACATATAATAATAATAATAATAATCAGATATTATAATTCGATTTTATTCCAAAAGAAAAAAAACTTACCGAATAAAAATTGGCCACATTTAAACGTTGATTATTATCATCCATAATGGCATAATATTGTTGAACAAATGTTTTACCAATTTGTTCATAATTTGGATTCAACGCCATTTTGTTTATTATTTGTTCAATATTGAAATCAATTTGAGCGAAAATATTTGAAATCGAAAATTAAATTTTCTAAAATAAATAATGAAAAGGAGAAAGTGATGAAAATCATTCATTCAATTATTATGATAATAATAACTCGTCTTACTATTTGTTTTTTTTTCTGTTCTTGAATGTTGATCTGATTTGTTTGCGTTGGGAGAGAATAATATTCGTCGTCGTCGTTTTTCTGGTGGCTTTGTATAAATGCGAAATATCGATATTGATGAAACCTCGATGTAAAAGGCAAATTTATGGCAACATGTTTCACAGGCACTCGCCGCGAATAGAATACAACAGAAAAAACAAATGCTTCTGCTACACACACACACACACACACACACACATACATACACACATATACTGCACTTGTTGTACATACTGTGATGCACTATCGCCATCTTTGGATCGATTGTAGAAATTTTGTTTTTTTTCACCATAAAACAAAACACCCTTCCACCGCGCGCGGTGTCCGTTGTCGATTTTAACAAAAAAAAAAAAAAAAAAAAATAATGTCATAAATACATATAAATACAAGTGGACAAGTCACAATACAACCAACAAAGCCATAATTAAATGCTACTACTACAATACGAATATATAGAATATGATTTAGAATTTCATACTACTACTACCATATTTGAATTGATTGTGACCATTCTTTTGGCGTTATTATTTTTTTTTTGTCAATGAGCAATATAATTATTGTGGTGTTAGATGTCGCCACTGTCCATCATCATCATTATTTTTTTTTTTTTTACTCAAAACAACAACGAAACGAATACATACTTTTTTTTCCCTCCCCTATTGTTGTTATATGTGAATCAGAAGAGAAGAAGAAATCAAAATTACCGACAACACACACTGATGATGATGTTGGTGGTGTATACATATTTTTTTTCCATTCCAACTGAAATAATAAAAAAAAAAAAATACGACGACAACAACAACAACTCGTCGACTAAATAGATGCTTTTGTTTTAATATTAATCACAATCATCATCATCATCATCATCATCATCAATTGTCCAAGAAAACAAAAAAAAAATTGTTTCATTTCTTTTTTTCTATATGAAATGATTTGTCTGTGTGTTTGTGTGAATTTAATGTTTTTTCCGATCATCACATTTGATGATGACTAAGTGAATCTATTTTTTCAGTGTTTAATCTTGGTTTAGTTTCTAACAAAACTAAAAAAAAAACTAAAAAATTTTTAATCATCATCATCATCAAATGTTTGTTTTATAATTTTTTTTTTCTTCAACATCTTGATCATCTCTCATTGGCATTTTTACTCCATTTTTTTTCTCCTTTCAAACATATTTTTATCATCATCATCATCGAATAATTTTCATTCTTGTTTTTAAAATAATCCATCTGGTGAGATTTGTATACGAAAAGAAGAATAAAAAAAAACGTAAGCATCTTTTTTAAAATTTAATAAATTAAAATTTCAATTTCGATTGATTAATTGATTTTGTTTCCCCCCCAAAAAAAAACAAAATTTTGGATTTTTGTTTTACAAAATGGGTTGAAATAGTCATTGATTATGTGATGATGATGATGATGATGAGAGTCATTTTCAATTGTGTGCTGTACCTGCAATCGTTTTTTGTTTTCGTTTTGATCATAATTGAAATCAATCTATTTATATAGATAGATTATTTATATATTGTCTGCAAAATCAAAATATCTAATTATTGTTTTTTTTTCTCAATCCCCCATAATAGATATAGATAGATTAATCGTGGATTCGTATTAAAAACAATCACTGTATAATTGTGACTGTTTTCGATTAGCAAAGCTCATTCTACAAGTTTTAATTTCGTTTTATATTTATACATTAGAATCATGCAGAAAGAAGGTGGTAAAAAACAATTACTAATCATCGATCCAAAGAATGAAATTTCATTCAAAGGACCATATGATCGTGTTGTAACCGAATATTTTACATTGAAAAATCCAACCGAATCTATTATTGCATTTAAAGTGAAAACAACGGCACCTAAAAAATATTGTGTACGACCAAATAATGGTATTATTACACCGAATAGAGCGGTACAGGTGTCCGTCATGTTACAACCAGGTGATTTAACACAAGAAAAACATAAACATAAATTTATGATACAATCAGTGATCGTACCGAACAACAACAATAATAATGTTAATCAATTACAATACAATGTTGATGAATTGGTAAGTTTTTTGTTAATGAATTTGTTTCACAAGTTGTTTTCATTTTCATTTTTTTTTTTTTTTTTTTTGAAAAATATTTTCCATAGTTCAAAGCATCATCACCTGATGAGATAATGGATTCAAAATTTAAATGTGTATTTTTGGATTTAACAACACCATTAACGACGACTAATCCACAAATGGCTTTACAAGGTGGTAAAAATGTTGCAGCACAAAATTTCGATCATGATCATCTTTCCGATGGTGTTGGCAGTATCGGTGATGATTTAGTTAATGGTGGTAGTTCCGGCATTAACACAATGATGATGGGTCAAAGTGAATTTTCTTCATCGTCATTGGGTTCGGAAAATATTGATAATAATAATCACAATAGTAATTTCGATACGAACAGTTCTATTGGATCATCTACAAATGGTCATCATTTTGATGATCATATATCAGCCATTCGCAATAATAATAAAAAAAATGAAACAGTAACATCATCTACAACTATCGGTGGTTCAATGGGCAACAAACAACATTGCAACATGAATGAATATATGACAACATCGAATTTATCACCATTCGATATTCAATCGATACCGTCAACAACAAATAGTAGCCAGGTTTGTCATCTGCAAAATTTTTCCTGTTTTCAAATCATTTTTTTTTTTTTTTTTTGGTAGGATGTTGAATCAAAATTAAAATCAGCCGAAGAAGAGATTCGTTTGTTAAAAGATAAATTACAACAAGTACAACAATATGCCAGTAAATTTTCCAGCCAATCATCATCATCAACAACAACAAAGAATGGCGATAATTCAACAAGCAACAAATTAAGTGAATCATTATTCGATAATAATCAATTGTTGATTAAAATATCGGTCATTGTTGTAGTCGTTTCGTTTATTGTTGGAACCATTTTTGGCAAAATGTTTTGAAATCAACGCGCATCAAAAATTTTTAATATTAATAAACAAAAAAAAAATTAAGAAGAAAACAACAATGAACCAACGAAGATAGATGACAACTCGGCTTAATAAACAAACCAATATACATCCATTCAATGTTGGATGGATATATAGAAAGAAAAAGTACAAGTAATAATAATAACAATTTTATTATTGACCTAAACACCCACCCACACACACACACACACACACACATACACAAACCCTATACAGATAACAGAAAAAAATGATAAAATTAACATAAGTAAAACACCAAACAGACACAGACGGACACAAATAGCCAATTTGTTTTGTGTTTCATTTTCATTTTCAATATCTACCAATTTATGATGTAATTTTGATTATCAAGTAAACAAACCCAAAATACACACACACACACAGAGAGAAATCCCTCAATTGATGATGATAAAAAAAACTCGAATATTTGTGTGATTGATAAAATAAAAATGACATAAATTATATAAAAAAAATAAGATGGAAACTTGTTGATTACCGTGTTTGTTTGTTGATGATATGAATGACCAGCTTGATTGTCCATTACATACAACAATGTCCCATGCTTTCAATAATGTTCAATCAAACGAAAACGATTCGATTTAATCGGGTTTTGGTTCTATTGATACACAATACACACAATACACACACAGATTTCTCCTTCTGTGTTTTGATGATGAAACAGGAAAAAAATTTCATTCATTTTTTTTTCTCTCCAATTGAATAACGATAATTTTGAATTTTTTTTTTGTTCGTCTGAAAATTAATTATAATCAATTTAATTAATCTGTTGTTCATGAAGTTTTCTGTTTGGAAAATTATTATTAAATTAAAATTCATTGAATATTTATCGAGCAATTTTGCATTTCTATTTTTTTTTTTTTGTTCTTTCGATTGTAATATGCATCACCAAATATGAATGTTCATTCGATTTTAATGATGATGATGATGATGATGATTTTGTTGTTGTTATTATTGGCTGATATTGATTATCATCGATTAGCTATGGCGGCTACTTCCACTATCGAGGATATTTGGTTAAAATATGATGTATGTAGATTATTTAAACCATCCAGTTATATTAAAACATTAACACCGATTCAATATGCAATATTGGATGAAGAAAATGAATTAATTCAATTGAAATTAATGAAAATTGGTGGCGTTTTCATACAATTATCATTACATGATACAATAGTACGTGATGGACCACCATTTAATCTAAATTTACGTTATGCAAAAGTAATTGATAATAATAAATTGGTAAAATTTAAATATGATGATCCTGAAGAATTTTTATCGATTAAATGGCCAACTAGTGATAATGTTCAAATTTCTAGCGAAAAAATTGTCCAATCAAATGGGACATCGTATATGAGACCATTTTGGAATGTTAAATTTCATTTACCGAAGAATGATACGACAGATGCTGATGATTATGATGATGATGATGATGATGATGATGATGAAAATGTATTCGTTCTATGTGAATGGCAATGGGATCCATATTATTGGATGCTTAATTATTTGGACACAAATTGTACGAAAGTTCAATTTGATTTACCAATTTTATTGGCAATCGATTATCGATCATATTTTTATTTATTTTTCCACGAACATGTAATCATCATTCCTAAACGTATTCTGTTACCATTCGATCATAATCATGGTAAACATTTGGTTCGTTTTACTCGAAAATCAAACAACAGATTTTTCATCTGTCCAGATATATCAACCGGGATGGCAATAACACGATTTCATGATCGTCATCCATACATTTATCCAATATATATCATTGTAATCATCATGACCATTTTCATTTTCACAAAATCATATAATTTTATAAAAATTCAATTAGCAAAAGCAAAAAAAGGATTAGATCATGTAGCTGATTTACTTGATGATGGTTTATGATGACCAGCAATGGGATGAATCGGATGGCCAAGAACAACCAGAAGATCCATTATTAGCATCATTATCGGCCAAACAATTGGCAATGTTTCATGATCGAAATGAAGATAAATTACCACGTGCCATTCCAATCATACAGGAACGGCCAAAATTTAAATTAATTTTAACACCAAAACCACCAATGGATAGTAGTGAAAAATGAACAAAACAAAACAAAACAGAAAAATTTTTAAATTTAAATTTTGAGTCAATAATAAAAAAAAAATTTTTTCTCTCAATAAAACTATGACCATGTGAACAATTTTGTATATGTGACTCATCAATGAAAAATCAATCAATAATCATTAACAGACAAACAGAAGAAACAAAAAAAAAATTCACATGTTTGGTTTTACATATCTGATCAGAAATTTTTTAGTTTGAACATAAACAAACAATGAATAAATCTTCATTATCTTCATTGTATGGTGGTGGTGGTGGTGGTGGTGGTGGTTGTCATTGTCATACACCAATCAGTTGGGATACCGATTGGGATTGTAGTTCAACATCATCATATGGAATGGAACAACATCAACAACAAAATCATTGGAATTCAATCGAAATGATTTGGTTTCATCGAAATTTTTCAAAACAAACAACATATGAATCATTTGTAATGAAATATTCACAAAAATTTCGTCTTGAATGTACAGAAATAACGGCAAATTTACGTGATAAACGACGATTATTTTTGGAATCATTAACTAACCAATCGTTGGATATTGATGAATCAATGGAATTATTATGTGGATATGTCAATCTTTTTTATGGATTTATATGGTGTTTAGATGAATCTATGGAAGAAATTCCATATCATTCTACATCGAAATTATCCACAGAATTTCAATTTAATTGGTCTGATTCGATTCATATTCCAAATGATGATCATCAACAACATTATCGTTCGGAAAAAGATTCAATGTTTGAATTGATTTCCATTATTTATCATTATGCATTGAATTTATTGATACAAACAACAACGATGAAACAAAATAATGATAATAATAACAAACAATTTATGGATCAATTTGATAATTTGGATCAAAAACGTTTACGTTTAGCATCATTACTATTTCGAATTATTGGCGATCAATTTCTTTCATTATCATCACCGTTGACTATTTTAACCGAACATCAGACCGATCTGGATTCGAATATATTACGTACATATCAATATCAATGCATAGCAGAAGAACGTGAAATTGAATTATTCAAATGGATTCGTTCACAAATTAATGGACCAGTATGGAAATGGCCAAAAATTGTGGAAATATCCGGTGAAGCTGAAACGGCATTTCATACTGCTTATTCATATTTACGAATGGAATATCGGACAACACCAGAATTGATACCATTATGGCGTTGTTATCTTCAAGCAAAACGTAATCTTTATCGTACAATACGTCTAATACATTTAGATATAATCAATAAAAACAATTTGAATAATCAACATATTCATTATTGGTTTGATGAAACGAAACGATTATTTGAATCATATAATCAATTGACATCCGTTACACGTGGTTATCAATATCGTCATTTAGATCGTATGGAAATATTTGATTGGATTGAACAAATATTACCGGTGAAACAGTCAAATGATTCATGGCATAATAATAATAACCGTAATTATGATGATGATAATGAATATGAGCCAATAATAATACGATTGGATGTTTTACAACCAAAAATCAAAGTGGATAAAATCGTCGCCAAACTATTTCGACGTGATGAATTATGGACACGAAAAGTATATGATGCTTTTGGTACAATGGACAATGAAAATAGTGGCCATAATCGTCGTTTGAATATTATTGAACAAATGTTAAATTGGCGAAAACCGAATAATTCATTACGGATACGATCACAACCATTACCATTGGTAATTTCTAAAAATAAATTTGATAATTTCATCATTAAAAAATCATTGAAAAGTAAATCGGCAGAAGAATCAACCAAAGCAACGAATAATAAATCTAAAAATAATGGACAGAATTCCAACGAATGTTCATCGAATTTTGTCATCAATGATCGTCATGATTATTCGAAACCATCACAACGTTTCATTCGAACATATAGACCAATAATATCATGGCCATTGGAAAATGAAAGCTACACAGCATCAAGTAATAATAGTTCAGGTTATGAATCAACATCATCAAATTTTGATCTAAGTGGTAGATCATCATCATCATCATCATTTTATAATGATGATAATCTTCGTACATTGATCGATACAAGAAAACAATCATTATTATTACGAAAAACAAGAAACAGTCAACTAATCGATCTATCGATAGTGATGAACAATAATAATAATATGAATTCAAATTCGAATGATTTCCATCGAAACAATGATTGTCCACTTTTAACGAATCGTTTATTTCCAATTTCAATTGATGGTGAAAATTGTTGTTGCTGATGATGATGAATTACAAAAGAATTATAGTATTAATTCATCATCAACAATGATCCGGATGAAACCATCGATACAACCAAAACCTAAACAAAAATCAAGAATAATCTAATAGTGTTTTTTGTTTGTATTTTTTTTTGTTTTGTTTCGAATGTGTGAATGTCTATTTTGTCAAATGTCAAAATTTTATTTTTTTTTCATTGAAATTATATTGAATAAAAATCATCACTATTCTTTCAGCTTACGACCATCAAACATTGTTACAAGCTTATGTGGTGCAAAATTTCGAAAATCACCCCTACACTTTCAGCTTACGACCATATCACGTAGAAAATACTGGTTCTCGTCTGATCACCAAAGTCAAACTACGTCGAGCCGAGTTAGTACTTGGGAGGGGAACCACTTGGGAACACTCGGTGTCGTAAGCTTTTTCATTTTTTTCAAAATTTCAATCCGTTACCATCAAAAATCGTATCATTGATCCAATTAATGATAAATAAAGGTCAAGGTAACATGTGTGACAACTTTTTTTTCTTGTTCGTAAGAAAGTTGTCATACAAGCAACAAATTTAAGAGAATAATGATCCATTGGGCAAAAAAAAAACTTTACTTTCATTCTAAACTTGAATCTCAATTTAAAAAAAAAAAATTGTCGACCACGAGAAAATGGATCAATAAGGCCCATCAAAAAGGTAAAATCAGCTTTGCCCCCGACGCTTATTTAGTTTTGTGTAATCTTTTGTGTAATTATTCATTATGAGTGCATTTTCTTTCAGTTTGATCATCTCATTATCGATTGTTTCATATGTCAATTCATCATCATTTCTATGGCAACCATTATTGGATATTCCGGATGAAATTATTTCGAAATTTTTTCTACCAAATTATCTTCGAATCGACGATAATCGTATTGGAAAACAATGTCATCATGATTTGCTTATGGCCATGAATTCAATGATTCATGATCGTCAAACTTGGGCATTTAAATTGTTCAATTCATGGGCATCAACAATACCGCATGGTTTTCTACTTGGCACATTAACCGATTATGGTGATTATGATCAATGTATGGCAATTGATCATCATGAAATATGGCCACAATATTGTCTTGTTGATATGCAAATGCCACTGCCAAAACCAATGCCTAATGGTCATAATTTATATCATCAAACAGATGGTCTTTTACCACAGAAACTATCCAATGACACCATATATGAATATCTAAACAATGTTTCTTCATATTTTTATTATTCATTCATACGTAAAGGAATTTGTCTTCCCAAAACATGTACGATTCAAGACATCCAAATAATTGTTCAAAAAGGTTTTGGTCAAGAATTTGGTCTTGAATTGAATAAAATTTCCTGTACACAGAAACGACAAACATCATCATGGTCACTAAATGCAATACAGATGATTGCTATGTAAGTTGAATTTTTATAATAAAAAAATTTCGATCTAATTTGAAATGAAAAAAAAATTTCAGTCTAGTTATTGCAAATATCGTTATCATTACAATTGTGGCTGCCATTTATGATTGGATTCGAGTGGAAAAAACCGATTCATTAATGGAAAACATTTTACTTTCATTTTCACCCATAACCAATGTGAAGAAATTATTCACAATTTCCAATGGTCAAGAAGAAGATGATCTTGCCTGTATTCATGGTATTCGATTTCTAGCCATCTGTATGGTTATTGTTGGCCATACACTTGCATTGAATAATTCAAATTCATTCCGTAAGAAATTTATTTTCCAAATGTTATTGTTGATTTTTTAAAAACATATCGTTCCAACATTAGGACAGATTTTCATACGTAAAAAATTTATGACCACATTATGGTTACATCCATTTATCAAAGGATTCTATTCGGTTGATACGTTTTTCTATTTAAGGTATGAAATTTTCATTTTATCATTACCATAAATAAATTTGTAAATTTTATACAGCGGATTTCTATTGTCATATATGACAATGAAATTGACCAATGGTGATTATCGACGATTTTCGACAACCGCCTATCTATTATTTCGTTATATTCGACTCACACCACAATTAGCAATCTATCTATTAATCATTACGCTATTACCACCAATGTTTGATGGACCAATTTGGCAAGGATTAATCCAACGAATAGGTGGACAATGTCGACGAACATGGTGGCAACATTTACTTTATGTACAGAATATTTATGATCCAAATAATCTTGTAAGATTAAAATGTTTTTTTTTTCATGGAATTCATTCTAATCATTATTGTCATTAGTGTGGTATACACATCTGGTATTTGGCTGCCGATATGCAATTACATTGGTTTGCATTGTTACCAACGATTGTAATGTTGAAAAATCGACGTATTGGATTGATTTTAATCAAATTTTTAATCATCCTATCCATATGTTATGTTTCAATGCAAATCTACCTACATGATCTACCACCTGGTTATGTTCCAACTACTGAAAAGTAAATGATCATGTTCTTGTTATCATTATGTTGTGATACATTAATAATTTTGGTTTTACTCAAAAAAAAACACAGTGATTTCATCAATGAAGATGGAAGTCTACGGCAATTTCTTTGGCTTAATTTTCAACCATGGGCACATTCTAATGTCTATTTGATTGGATATCTATTTGGATTCTATGTTGTCCGTAATGACCGTAACTATCACGGATGGATGGATCGTCGATACATTTGTTGGCCAATTATAATCGGTGGTTATCTATTCTGCATTTATAGCCTTACACCATGGCTTTATGGCCAACCATTCAATCCGATTTGGTCGGCAATACTTTGGCCATTAAATCGTACCTTTTGGGCATTGATTTTAACGGCCATACTATTCATCTGTATCAATAGTGGACGTAAATCAATTCTTAAACAATTGCTAAGTTGGCCAGCTATTCGACCATTATCAAGGATTACATATTCAGTGTATTTAACACATTTTCTAGTTATCTATATTGATCATGGATCACGACGAAATCTTATTGAAATGTCATTGATTGCATGGACATATCATTGTGTTTCAATTCTAACCATTTCCTATATTGTTGGTTTTATATTCACCATATTGTTTGAAACGCCCATTATCAATATGATGAATATAGCTAAACGAAAATTACTTCCCACCGATTTGAAATCGCCCATTGTAAATGATTTCAAATTAATCAATGTTGGGCCAAAAATTTAATTTATTCACATTCGACAAACAATTATCATTAAAAAGTTAATTTAACCATGAAAAAAAGTAATTTTTTTGTTCAAAATAGCAAAAAGATGTCTAAAAATGAAAAAAATGAAAAAGCTTACGACACCGAGTGTTCCCAAGTGGTTCCCCTCCCAAGTACTAACTCGGCTCGACGTAGTTTGACTTTGGTGATCAGACGAGAACCAGTTTTTTCTACGTGATATGGTCGTAAGCTGGAAGGATACTGATGATTCTCAATTCCTAAAGGGGAAATTTTAGTTTTAACCTGATTTAAATTTTCAAAATAAATATAAACCCACTTATGACATCTAGTGGACAAAATTTTCTAAAAATGCAACTAAGTTTGCTCTAATTTACAAGATTAGATTTTGCCATTTTTTTTCAACCCATTTGCTTCAGTATTACGACCATATCACGTTGAGAACATCGGAAAAATTTTTTTGATTAGCGATTACAGATTAATTTTTTTTTTGTTTCGCTACATCAAAAAATTTTGAAAACATTGGAAATAATTACTTCCATGATTCGATTCGAATTAAATTAATCGGAAAAAATGCATTTTTTTTCGCAATTTAAAATTATCATCATCATCGGTTGTGTATATACACATTCCACGTTTGTTAATTTTTGTTTGTCAATCATCATTTTTTTGACAATTCATTTTTTGTTATATAAATGACTGGCGCCCCCACCTTTATGAATGATGATGTATACACGCACACAAACAACACGTAAACATTCGAATACAAGTCAAGTGTGTGTGTGTGTTTTTTTTTAAATCTGAATTGCCACATGTCGTTCTCGGATTGGTTGATTCATTTCAACCAATCAGAGACAGACATGTGTCCAACCACTAGCAGTAGTGGTTGTTGTCGTAGCAAACAAATGTGAATGAACGCGATAGTGATTTTTTTTTTTTAAATACCGGCCTTATTCATTTGACCATCATCATCATCATCATCGTATATATTCGATTAATGTGAGAATTTTAGAGAAAAAAAATTTTTCATTTTGTCTTGAAACGTTTTATATATTAAACTTAAAATTACTTTATTCGATTCTTTCCATACGTACGACAACATTTTTTATGTTGTAAGATCTCGTTTTATTTTTTTGATCAAATCAGTAAAAAAAAATTCGGTGTGGTTTTTTTCTTATTTCTTCTCATTGATCTCGGTTTATTTCATTTCATCAAAAAGTCATTTTTTTTTTTTTTTCATTCATCGAACTTATCCATTGTGTGTGTGTGTGTGACTGGTTTCAATTACAATTTTAAGGTTTGCTTTTCATTCTAATCCATTGTGAAACTAATCATTTTGTTTTGTTGATTATTTAGAATGAAAATTTTTGTTATACTTGCGTTACTGGGTTTTAGTCAAACTATTCTGGCTAAAATCTATTTCCGTGAAGATTTTGCCGAATCTGATTGGTCAAAACGATGGATACAATCCAAACATCCGAATAAAGAATTTGGTGAATTTAAATGGACGTCTGGTAAATTTTATGGTGATGTCGATAAAGATAAAGGTATTCAAACGTCTGAAGATGCCCGTTTCTATGCCCTTTCATCGAAATTTGAAGATGAAGCCTTTTCAAATGAAGGCAAAGATTTGGTGATTCAATATTCAGTCAAACATGAACAAAATATTGATTGTGGTGGTGGCTATATCAAACTATTCGATTGTGGTCTTGATCAGACTGATTTACATGGTGAATCACCTTATCGAATTATGTTTGGCCCAGATATCTGTGGACCAGGAACGAAAAAAGTTCATGTGATATTCAATTATGATGGTAAAAATCATTTGATCAACAAAGAAATTCGATGCAAAGATGATGTACATACACATTTGTATCGATTGGTTGTCAAACCTGATAACACCTATAAAGTATTGATCGATGGTGAAGTTGTAGAAAAAGGTGAATTAGAATCTGATTGGAATTTCTTGCCACCAAAAACAATTAAAGATCCTGATGCCAAAAAACCAGAAGATTGGGATGATCGTCCAAAAATTGATGATCCAGAAGACAAAAAACCCGAAGATTGGGATAAGCCAGAATTCATTCCAGATCCTGAGGCGACTAAACCAGAAGATTGGGATGATGAAATGGATGGTGAATGGGAACCACCACAGATCAATAACCCAGAATACAAAGGTGAATGGAAACCGAAACAAATTGATAATCCAAGCTATAAAGGACCATGGGTTCATCCGGAAATTCCAAACCCCGAATACAAAGCTGATCCACAATTGTATTTGCAGAAAGAAATTTGTGCCGCTGGTTTTGATTTATGGCAAGTTAAATCTGGCACCATTTTCGATAATGTCCTTATTACTGATTCTGAAGCCGAAGCTGATGAAGTTGCCGAAGATCTTTTGAAAACAAGAATGTCAGCCGAAAAGAAAATGAAAGAAGAACAAGATGCTGAAGAGGAAAAGAAACGAAAAGAAGAGGATGAAGCTAAAAAAGCTGAAGAAGTTGATAAAGAATTGGATAAAGATGAAGATAATGATCTTGACGATGATGATGATGGTGATAAAGATAAAGCCGATGAAAAGCATGATGAATTGTAAAAAAAAATTTCAACAACAAACGCACTGTTCGAGCGGTATTTACATCCTTTTTTTCATTTTGTTGTTTCACACGCTCAGATCTAAATTTTTTTTTCTCTCCAGTCATTCGTATTATCTGCAAATACACTTTCTCATAACTCTTCCGCTATAAATTTTATAATATAAAATATATTCGAGTCATTTTTTTTCTGAAAAACAATATATATTCTAATTTATATACGCTGAATATTTTGAATGGTGGGTGGTTGTTTTTTTTACTGTGAAAACGATTTGGTGTGCTAAAATAATATTTCCGGTATTTGTACAAAAAAAACTACAAAAGAATTGTCTGATTTTTTCAATTTTTTTTTTCATTTGTTTATTGTATGAAATGAATAAAATTTTTTTTTGTTTTTTTTTCGAAAATTCTTTGGAACTTTTTTCTGATTTTTTTTTGTCAACTTTTATTCTAATGACACGTCAACAACGTTTCATCCTCTTGCAACACATATTTCTATGCTTCTACTTGAAAATCAAATTTTGGTTAATTAGGGTAAATTTCAACTGTTATTCACGGTCGTTGTTTCAGCGTGATACATATGTTTATGAACAGTCCTTTTGCAAAATGCTGGATAAAGATTTTAAAATGAGAAATCAAGGTACGTACAGTAACATTGTTGATGAACGGATGACATGTGTTTCTTTTCGTTTCCTCTTTGCTTTGCCTCGTTTCGTGTTTGTTTCGGTTCTTTTATTTTCATAAGAATATCAAGCGATTATTTTTTTTGGAATTGTTTCTTTTGTTTAGAATTTTTTCCTTTGTAAATAATATAAAATGGTAAGCCAATTATTAGCACGATTTTTCTGAAATTTTTTAACTAAATATTTTTTTCTTTGAAATAATTCTAGCCAACCAAATATCAAGTTGAAATTGGCCGCGTGGCATTGATCAATTTTGGTCCAGATGCCGGTAAATTGGTCGCAATCGTTGATATTATCGATCAGAATCGTGCTCTAATCGATGGAACATCATCCGGTATTCCACGACAGGCTATTCAATTTAAACGATTACGTTTGACTAAATTTCGTTTGCGTATTCCATACGGTACCAATTCACGAAACATTCAAAAGATCTGGAAAGAAAATGAAATTGACAAAAAATTCGGTGAAACGAAATTGGCATTGCGTTTAAAACAACAACAATTGGTTTGTATTCAATTTCATTTGATGAATTTAAATAAAAAATCTCATCGATTTTTTTTTTTGTTTTCAATTACAGAAATCGAACATGACTGATTTCGATCGATTCAAGTTGTACAAAACTAAACAACGTGTAAGCATAAACTAAATTGTGTTGATTTTTCAATTCATTTTTTTGTCATTTGATTTTTTTTAGTACAACCGAATCGTCAACAAAAAATTAGCATTGTTGAAATTCAAATCGAAAAAGACGGAAAAAGCTGGTGGTGGTAAAACAAAAGGAAAGAAATGAATATGAATGAATGAAGCTGAAAAAATCCTTTTTTAATTTTTTTTTCTTGTTCAAAAACATAATAAATTTCTTTTGAAAATCAATCCAATTTTTAATTGATCTGAATCTTGAAAAAATAATTCCGAAAACGAAAAAAAAAAGAAATGGGAACGTTTTATATTAAAAGCTCTATATGTGTCCAAACTTGCAGCTGAAATTCGATTGTCATTTTTTTTGAATTTATATTTCATTGTTGATTGTTATTCAAAATTCAAGTTTGATGGAATCAAACATCGATAATGATAATGATTATAGTGAGAAAAAATTGGCTGCATCCATTGCGGCCAAATCATTTTTCGGTCCAATTTTTTTATCATTATTTTTTTCAATAATTTTGTTTGGTAATGAATTATATTTTCAATGGCAATATTTTCTCCCGTTACTTGTGGCCATTATTTTTCTTACATTCATACTACTTTATAGTCAATTTTATTCAAATCGATTCTATGTAGTGGTCAGTATCATATGAAGGTAATATATGATAATAATTGTAATCAACTTTTTTTTTACATTTAAAACAGGTGATTCTCATAACATTAGGATTAAGTTTCGTATTTTCATTCGGTCTTCATCTATCCGTTGCTCATTTACAAGATAATCCATCATCACCAATGTGGCATACACTTGGTCTTTATTTAATGATATTAAGTTTATTTCATTATGGTGAATTTCAAGCAACAGCAATGATAAACATCAATGACATAACTGTACAGACATTTTTACTTAATCATAGTGTGGAATATCATCTTGCTTTATACATTTCATTGGCTGAATTCTGTATTGAATCAATGTTTTTCACTGATTGGAAATTTATCTTTCATCCATACATCACATATACTGGTTTGTTTATCTGTATAGCTGGTGATGGTCTACGAAAATTAGCCATGTTTACGGCTGGCCATAATTTCACTCATGTAATACAAGTCGATTATTTTTCTGATCATCAATTGATTACAACAGGAATCTATTCAATATTTCGTCATCCATCATATGTCGGTTGGTTTTATTGGTCGCTTGGAACACAGGTTAGTTTGAATTTTTTGTTCATTTAATTGGTAATTCTAATTATTTGAATCATCATCAAATAGATATTATTACAAAATCCCATCAGCTTCATTGGATATGCAATCGTATCGTGGCGTTTTTTCAAACAACGAATTCAATTCGAAGAAATTACGTTAATCAATTTTTTTGGGCCAAAATATCTTATTTATAAGAAAGAAGTGCCCACTGGTCTGCCATGGATCGATGGTTATTGATCAACTCTCTCTCTTTCATTCTCACTTGTCAAGTAACATTTATGAAATGATGACCATGAAGAGCTTTGTTTGTTTGTTTGTTTGTTATTATTTGCTTTGCAAAACATGTATCATGCCAAAATAATAATAATAACTTATTGCCAAATCGTGTTAATTTATAAAAAAAATTAGTTATTATTTTGTTCACAATAAATTTTCAAATAGATAATCTAAAAGTTTAAAATGTAAATTAATTGGTGATAAATGTGCAAAATCATTTTGAGCAAGATAGGTTTTTTCAACATTTACATTGGCCATTGTGAGAAGAATTTTATGAAATTTTTCAAATTCTTGTCGAATATTCTGTGGTTTGTTCAGCTGAAAATCAGTTACACCGATGTGAAATTTTTGGCATCCATGTTTGACTAGTGAATCAATGAATTTCGATTGAATAATCCAAAAATCTTTGGATCCATTATGACCACCATCCAATAGATATAGATCGGTTAATTTAAATTTTGATTGTGGTGAAACCTGATGCAGAGATCGAGCCAATTGATTGATTACAATTTGACCTTTACTGAAAGCAATTAAACAAGCTTCAATACTACTGTCTATGGTTATGTTGATTTGTTTGCTTGCATTAGTCAACAATCGATAAAAATGATCAAAACAAGATTGATCATTGTCATCATATAATGGTGATCCATATGGTTTTGTGGTTTGCAAAAATTATCATACAATGAAAATGAATTAATCATTTTTGATGGTTGAACAATGAATATGTCATGTTCGTTGAATCGATTCGATAGTTTTTTTGCAACATTTTCCAATGAATATGACAAAAATTCATGATTATTTTGTTTGATCATTTCATCATGAAAATTTTGTATATCACCACCAAAATAACATACAATTGGCCATACAAATCTGTCGGTTCTTTTCATACAACATGGAACATAAATAAGATTATTGAAACGGCCAGAAATACCTTCAACATTCATCAAATATCGTAATGAAGACATTGTTTGATTTTGAATTCGAAGAATTTGAAAAAGAAAAAAAAAATCAAATCACGTTCTATGTGAATGATTTATTGCACGTGAAATTCTAATTTTGAGTTTTGTGAAACATTTTCCAATTGTCAAAATAAAATTTTACGAAAATCATATTCTTATCGATCATCATTATGAATAAAAATCTTGGCAAATTTTATCGGGTAAGTAATTTTTGTTTTTTTTCATCCGATTTTCTGTGTATCTGTATCTGTGTGTGTTTGTGTTTGTGTTTGTTTATATGCTTCGATCATTATCTATCTTTGTCTATCATTTTGATTGATATAAATTCAAATACGGCGCTAGATTTGTCTTGAAGGAAATATTGGTTGTGGTAAATCATCATTATTATGTCGTCTAATTGATCGATTCGGTAATCATCATACGAATACTAATAATAATGATGTTAATGATCATCATCATAATTTACTCAAAGAAATGGATCAAATATCAATCGATTTTGATGATTCAAACATATCGATGATGATTACACCCGAACCAATCAAATTATGGACAAATATTCCATTCTCATCTGCTGATGGAAAAATTCAGAAACATGATAATCTTTTACAGAAAATGTATGATGATCCAAAACGATGGGCATTTACATTCGAACATTATTGTCAATTAACAAGATTTATTCAAATGTCCAATATTTACAATGAATTTGAAGAAAATAGAAAAACATTGGAAAAAGAAAAAGTCTGGATACATTTAATGGAACGTTCAATCTATTCGAATCGTTTTGGATTTGTCGAAAATTTTGCTCAATCGTATGTATGATCTGAATTTATTTTATTTTTTTTCATTCTAAATTAATTTTTTTTCGCCCACTTGTCAGTGATAAATTATCACCTGTTGAATATCGAATACTTGATCAATATTTTGACCATTTGCGAAAAAAACCACAAACAATGGTCGATTTGTTTGTTTACATTCGTACCGATCCAGAAGTTGTACGTGAACGAATACGAAAAAGATCTCGCCGTGAAGAGGATCCAATTTCGATTGTAAGTTTTTTTTTAATTTTGGAAAAATCAATTCAAAATAATTTTTAATTATTATCAATGTAGGAATATCTTACAGAAATACACAAACTACATGATAAAATGTTTGTTGAAAAACCGGATGACATTTGGAATCGAATCCATTGTAAAACGATAAAAGATCAAGCTGTCATCTGTTTGGATGGCAATCAACCTTTTGATATTGTTTATGAAAATTTTCTCGACAACATACGAAAATGGCTTAAACCACGAATGACGATGATGATTAAGGATTTAAAACAAAAACAGTGCCATTGAGATTTTATTCAATCATTTCTTTTTCACATCTTATGTTTATGAATTTCATTTTCATTAATAATAATAATAATAAATCACATTATTTTTAGAATCGAAAATAAATTTATTCAAAATATATATGGATATTATGGCCGCTAACGATTTTATCTATGATGACCTACACAATGATGAAGATTCATCGTATGAACATGAAGATTTTCTTGATTCATATGGTAAGTTTTTTTTGTCAATTTTTCTTTTGATTTATAAACAAACAAATCCAAATAAAAAAATTTCCTCATTTACAGGTGATGATTCTGATTATTATGATCATATGACGATGATGGGATCGAATTCCGAACATACAATGAATGAATTATTTTTCCATTGTATTGAACCAACATTACGTGATGTTTGGTGGCAATTTTTATTGCCAATTTTGGCAACTAATTTTATAGCCATCATATTGTTTACATTATTAATCATTGTAGTAATGAGATCCACCAGAATGAAACAATTTCAATTCATCATATCGGAATCGATTCTGATCATTAGTGGTTATTCATTATTGTTACATCATTATTCATCAAATAACTTTGATCAATTATTATTTCTTACTTCTGTGATCATCATATCAAGTATTTTCGTATCAGTATTGCTTGCATTCGATATTCATAATGGATTACATTTTATATGGCCTTTACATCTTTTATTCATTGGATTGAATGAAATTTTAATATTTTTTTATGATTCATCTGATTGGATAAAATTACGACCAAATCTGATGCTATTGCTAATGAAATCAATTTCATATTTTCATGAAATCAGAATTTCCATGGAGAAAAAAGACATCAAAAACAGTGGTAGTTTTATACGAAATTTTAAATTCATCATTCTACAATATAGTGCCTATGTTTTACATCCTTGTGCCATCATTTTGGGTATTTGGCATCCACATAATGATCATTCAAAATTATTCATAACAAATCATAATAATAATGATGAAACAAGAACGAAAAATTTCAAACAAAATATTATCCAATCATTTGGCTCATTATTTTTTTCATTACTATTTTTAATCTGTTCTACGTGTCTTATTGATTATTTTTTTGGCCACATTCTTTTCGAATATCTTGATTCATTTATTCGAATATTCTTTGCGGATGATCCACAACAAACATCTACATTTTGGTTTTTTATCATGAAAATTCTTCGATCCTATTCTATTGCGATACAATTTCATTATTCACATTATTTCATCTGTTTTCTTGGTCAATCTATGTTCCATTTATGGGGATTTGACGATCTACAAGTGACGAAACCATTATCGATTGAATGGCCACGATCATTGGTGGATGTAGTTGTTGCATGGAATATTCCAATGCATCAATGGCTAAAAAGATGTAAGTTTTTTTTTGATGAATTTACTACTGATAATTTCTGACCGTTTTTTTCTCGTAGACGTTTTTCAAGTTATGAAAAATAATCTTAAAAATATTTATCTGACCATTTTGGCAACTTATTTCATAAGCTCTTATTTACATGGTTTTAATTTTCAAATTTGGACCGTACTATTAACATTAGGTTTGATTACACAAGCCGAATTTAAACTACGAAAATCATTGGCACATTTTTGGTCTGCATGTGTTGAATCAAGAAAATGTCAATATGATTATTATGTTTACGATGATGATGATGATGATGACAATTATTCATTGGTTTGTCGTCATGGACATCGAAAAACTAAAAACATTTGGATCGTACGAATCATAAATCTATTCTTTACATTGTTAGCTTTATTTCATCTTGCTTTTCTTGGCGCTACATTCGATGGTCAACCAGATGTAAGTTGAACATTGGTTATTTCATTTATTTATTGATTTTTTTTTTTGTTACAACACAGTCATCAAGTGTAGAAAACGTTTGGACCGTATGGAAAGATTTACATTTCTATCCATTCATTACAATGATCATAATGTTTGTCCTGTATAAAATGATTTCATGATGATAAAAAAAAAATTAAATTCTCCAAAATTTTCATCACTTGTCGATAGATGGCGTGTGGAAGAAATTCTTTAAAAAAAGAACGAATCTATCGATAGTAATGTTCTATGAATCACAATTCTTTCATATATATTCTTCATCAAGCCTTTTTGTTCAATTGAATTTTTTTTTTTTTTGATAAATTATCAATAAAGATGATAATTTTACAATAAAAACAATGATGTTATAATAATTTATAGATTTTTTTTTCATTGATTTATATTCTCCTATATATTGTAAATAGCCAAATCTACCTGTTCAATACGTGTATTTTAAAATAAAGGTAAGCACCATCAACCACTACATGCATATATATACATACATTGCAGTGTAAGTTATTCTCAAATACCACACACCATTGATGATAATGATGATTGTGGTGGTGGTGGTGGCGACGGCAGCTACTCATTTGTGATATGCACACACCGCAATGCTAAAGAAAACAGGTATCTTGTTTTTTTTTTTAGGCATCCCAAAATGGTTTTATTTTTACCTGCTTTACAAATAAAAATTTTCATTTTTTTCTCCAATCATGGCTCACTGGATTTGACTCACTCATTCACTCACTCACTCACATACAGACAAAAAAATAAAATACTGTTTTCATAAACTGAGCCTTTTTCCATGTATGTATGTCTGTGTATTGTATATCTTTTTGATCATCATCACCATCATCACCATCAACAACAACAACAACAACATTGACGTTGTCGTTTATTCTTCAACGAGTTTTTTTTTGGAGTTGAGAAAAACAAAAAAATTTACCACCATTCGTTGTCGTCGTGTTTGTCACATCATCATCATCATCAATAAAAAGTTGTGAATGTTATTGAAATGTTATTTTTGAAAAATAATAATGATGCTTAAGCTAATTTTGGGCCGATGCTGATGAATGATGGTGAATGATCACCAGCCAATCATCATCATCAACCATCACCACCACCACCACCAACGGCCTTCTTTCATCCGTAACCACATCAAATAAAACAAATATATAAATTTTTTACATTCAATCATATATAGTGGTTGTAATTCCAATTTTTTTTTCTTTGTGAATTTTGTTTGGGTTATGTTTGATGTGTGTGTGTGTGCACTTCTTCTGATTCTGATTTATCGATACAAACAAAATGTATTGATTTTTTGTTGGTTTATAATTTCAACAACAACAAAAATTTGTCATATCAACAATCATGATGATTACAGCGCCTTATAACAACAAAAATCATTTCAATTGATTTGTGATGAACAAAAAAAAAAAAAAAGTTCAACGCACAAGAAATGAATCTTATGAATTTTACATGAAAACATGAAAATGATGTGATTTCTTTTATTACAAAAACAAAAATTTTTCAAATTCATTCCATCCACTCAATGTTTTTTTCCACATATTTGGAATCATCAATAATCAAGTGCCTATCATCATCTATTAATTTTTTTTTCAATTGATAAGTTAGTTTTTTTTAATGGTAATTGTCCTATTGTTTTTCAATATCTAATAATCATTTTTTTTCTCATTCCATTACGACAGTTCCAGATGATCAAAACGTAACCAAACAAACAAAAAACTTCCCATGATCAATGTGATTCAAAAAATTTGCCGTATACAATATTATATCCAGCTCTTTAGAAACAAATCAAATTCAATTTTTGCACTACAATCAAATATTTTTCAATCTGTGATTCAAACAAACAAAAATTTTCGTTCGATGTTGTCAAGAAGAAACCAAAGGCAAATCATCATCATTATAATTTATTTTCATATATCGCACAACTATGATCATCATCATTGATTCGAAAATATGATGTAATTTTAAAATCAAAAAAAAACCACCACCAACAACAACAACAAATTGTGACTATAAAAAAAACTCAATCGTCGTCATCGTTTTTTTTTGTTGATATAACAACAACAACAACAACGAATGGAAATTATTACATTTTATAAATTAGCATCATTCAAATTGTTTTAGACAACAACAAGGAAATTTGATGATAATAAAAAAAATTTTTTTCTCATTAATCATTTAATGTGAAGATATTTATCATCATTTTTTTGATCATAAAAATTGCGTCATACACAACACATTGATTATCAGGTCCAGCTGTTTTTTCTGGTTTTTGATAATAACGGCAAATACAGAAAAAAAACACCTCTTTCATACGTCGAAATATAAACCGAAATAGACATATAGAGAAAAGAAAAACCAGAAGCATTAAACTCTGTCGCAAACATTCAAAAAAAAAAAAAAAAAAAATTTCTTATCACATGTAAGTAACAATGACATGTCTTTATCGGCAATAAATATAGAAGAAGAAAAAACAAAATGAAGCTTCACATTTGTCTTTATTATAAATATAATCAAATGATTGATAATTGCATCACAAATTGCACAACTCTTGATAGTCTTGTTTTTTTTTGTTTATTGATTTGATATGATTGAAAATGAATTTTACACACAGTTGATTTGATTCATTTAAAAGTTTTATTTTTTTGTTGTTATTATTTGTTTTTCAATTTGTTTTATTTGTATTCAAGCTAATACATATGGTGTCTGGCTTAAATTGGCTGTTTGTTTTTTGTGTGTGTGTGTGTGTGTCTACTATATTCAATTCATATATACTATATACTTTGACATCAACCTGTTGTTGTTTTGGCCTTTATCATTTATTCATTCAATTTTTTGATTATGTTTATATTTTTCTTTTGTATTTGTAGTTTTTTTTTAGTTAATTGTTGTTGTATGTATATGTAGTGGTTATCGACCTCATTTTATTTTTACAGGTTACTAGAAATTTATTTTTTCTTCTTTTTTTTACCCATTAGAGGTTACCTTGTTGTGTGTTATACGGTTGTCAATCACATTTATAGATGATGATGATGATGATGATGATAATATCCGTACTAATAATTCGTGCCGATGTCATTTTTTTTCTCACATACAATATATCAATAGCAGAAAAGATTTAATCCGGTATTGTTGCATCCATTTTTTGGGTTTTATTCATGTGTATGTGATATATGAAAAGAGCTTTATTGACATTTGGAAAAAAACCAGCAATTTTCAACCATTTTTTCCCCTCCAAAAAAAGCGATATAGCCAAGAAAACAAAAACCTTGAAGACCACACTGTCTTATACGAAAAAAAACCATTTTCTTTGCTTGTCTTAACGTTTTTTTTTTTTTTTTAACTTTTTTTTTACTTTGAATGAGCAAAACAAATATGATTTTTTTTGTTTGTTTCTTTGTCACAATTAACATTATGTTGTAGTTGTTTTCTCAGCTATATTTACAATTTGTTCCAATTGGAGCAAAAAAATTTTTTTTTCGTTTCCAATCCTCATTAATTTCGTTATGGATGATTGAAATCCACTGTTTTTTTTACATAAATAAATAGTATAGCAGTAATAATTATATATCTTGTCAATTGGAGAAAAAAAAATCTACTTGATGCTTTAACCATCTTTTACATTTGTTTGTTTTGTTCGTCATTATCACAATCAAAATGATTGATCGATCGATCGATCGATGTTTGATAATTACAAATGGCTACTATTTTAATCCTATTTTTTTAAAAAAAACTTTTCTTACTAATTTTCATTTTGTATATCGGAAGAAATATCATCATCATTGCTGAATGAGTCATTGAATTGTATAGTTGTTTAAGAATGTAATTTTTTTCTGGTTGTCCTGGTGATTGTGGCCATTATATATCCATGAGAATGATGCTAATGTCTTTTTTTTAATAATAATATCTTTGTGTGTGTGTGTGTGTGTATACTTGAAGCTACTGTTACCGATGGTGATTGCAATGATGCTGCTGTGATCACCACCACCACCACCACATCAACAACTTGTATATATTGAATACACACATAAGCAACAAGTGATGTTGTGTAGTTGTTGTTGTTTTATTTTATTTTGTTTTATTTTTTTCCATTTATTTCTAAATTCATCTATTAATGGATTTTTCTTTTTTGTTCATTTGTTAAATTTTAACAGTTCCTTATGATTTAAAAATTGGATGATCAAATTTTTTTTTCTGTTATCACTCTCATCATGTCAACAATGACAACTGTGCCTGTAAATTCTTCAAATACATCATCAACATCATCATCATCATCGTCGTCGTCGTCGTCTTCATCGACAACATCAAATAATTCAAACAATATCCGTCATCATCATCATCATCATCTTAATCATAATCATGGTGGTAGTAGTGGTGGTGGTGTCAATAGTTTTCAACATCAGCAACAACAACATACCATAAATATTGGAACAAATAAAAATAGCAACAATATTGGTATACGAAATTCTTCTGCAATGGCAAATTTTTCTACAACGGCAAATTCAAACCATCATCATCAACAACAACAACAGCAGCAGCAGCAACAACAAACGCATTCGCCATTTACTAATTTAACAAATAATCATCATAATCATCAACAAAATTTGATTGAAATCAAAAGCAAAGTATGTTTGGTTTGATTTTAAAAAAAGATTAAATTTTTTTTAACTCAAATAATTTTCTCCTTCATTCTAGTTTGAAGCCGAATTTCGACGATTTTCTATTCAACGTTCAGAGATAACGAATCTAGAAGATTTTGTTAAATTAATTGAACATTTTCATAATCTTTTTTCCATACCATTTTGTCTGTTTTATACGGATCCAATACATGGAGATTTATTGCCAATTAATAATGATACAAATTTTGCGTTGGCAATCGCATCCGCTAAACCATTATTACGTTTGATCGTACAAAGAAAAGGTGAAAAAAGTTTTTGTTCATATATAAACATTGCTCATTTTGTTTTATTTTCTTTTGCACAGGTGAAAGTATCGATTATTTAAATAATTATGGTAAAAAGAAAAATTTTTTGGGAAACATCTTACCAGCAGTATCATCATCATCTTCTAAAAATCGATTAGCCATATCGGCACCGGAAGATTTTCGTCAAGTTTCATCGATTATTGATGTTGATATTGTTCCTGAAACCTGTCGACGTGTTCGTTTGGTCAAACATGGTTCAGACAAACCGCTTGGTTTTTATATTAGAGATGGAAGTTCTTTTAGAATTACTGAACATGGCCTCGAAAAAGTGCCTGGAATATTTATTTCACGTTTAGTTCCTGGAGGTTTAGCCGAAAGCACTGGATTGTTAGCAGTGAATGATGAAGTTTTAGAGGTTAACGGTATTGAAGTTAATGGTAAATCATTAGATCAGGTCACAGATATGATGGTGGCCAATTCTTCGAATCTGATTATTACGATTCGTCCGGCCAACCAACGAGCACATGCAGCTGGCCATCATAACACTCTTTCTTCATCGTATTCATCGAATACGATTTCCAATTATCATCATCATCACCACCATCCTCATCAACAACATCCAGGAGCATCAGCATCAATGGGAATGAATCAATCAATGACAATCGATACTAGGCATCCACATCATCATTACCATAATCATCAATATTATAATCATCCACATTATCATGTAACAAGTAGTTCAGGTGTTTCACAACAATATACAAACAGTTTAGAAAGATCTGGACATCGTTCCAAAGTGTCACAAGTAGATTATTATGGCAACATGTACAATGGTCCTAGTACGAGTAACATGCCGATGAAACCAGATCAACATCAAATTTCATCGTCATCATCATCATCGACGACAACAAAAACGTTCTGTCCACATGCCTCATCATCTTCTTATACGTTACAATCACATTCAAATTATCCACATCATCATCATCATCGGACACATTCAACATCTGATATGATTCAAGTGATTGAAAATGATGATGACGATGATGATGAAGATGAAGTACGAGATCATTTCAATGCATCTATGAATTCCGGTACAGCTAATAATGTAACTACAACGACAGCTACAGTTACGACAACACCGCCTCAAATATTTACAACAAATGTTTATACAATTTCCAATCCTACAATGGTCGAATGTATTACGATCGGTCCAGCATCATCGAAAACATCTAATAGTAACACTAATAATAATACTACTACTATCCACAATAATAATAATAATAACGGAATCAACATTGGTCATTCACCATATGTTAGTAAACGAAATAATTCGAGTGCCAATACAACGACCACAATGTTGATAAATAATCAACAACAACATTATCATTCCAATAACAGCAACACTAATGGTAATGGAAATCATCAACAAACTGCCAACAACAACAATAATAATAATAATAATACTAATAATCGAACATCGAGGCAATCAAGCAACGATTCTGATATAGTTACCTTATGAAATAATGATGATGATTAATATGATTTTCTCAATCATCAAACCAAAAAAAAAATATGTTGTTTTGTTAATTTTTTTTCTTTCTTATCACTTTTCTCTCATATTGATCTGTATTTTTTCATGAATTAACCAATTGCTCATTTTTTTTCTATAGAAAACGCACTTTTTGCCTTCACTTACCTTACTTACACACACATACACAATGCAAGAGATTTGGATTTTTTTTTCTTTTCATTATTCAAATTTTATTCATTCACATTCAAAATACACACACACACACACACACACAAATTTTTTTTTCTCAATTGCTGATATATATTTTATATTTATATTAGCACACATCTTTTTGCCTTTCATTTCATTTTTTTTTTTTTTAATATTCACATATATACCAAATAAATTTTTTTTTTTGTTTGTATATTTAATAAAACAAATGAACAATACAAATGTGTGTGTGTGTGTGTGTGTTGAAGCGGGAAATTTTTGTTTTAAATTTTTCCATCATCTAATTCGATTGCCACTAGGGTGTAGCACTGGTATTAGATTTAATTTTCATTCGAAAATAAAAACACAAATCAAAACAATGTTGACATATCGAAGAAAATGTTTTGTTTTATTTTGATCATGATCATATTACGGATAAGTAATATAAAGTTAATTTTTTTTTGTCATATTCAAAGAAAAAAAAACCTAATCCAATATATGACACATTTCATCATTTTGTCGTTTATTTTAAAGTGATGATCATTCTTTTTTTTTTTTTTTGGTGATGGCCGCTATAACAACAACAATATGTGATAATAATAATAATAATAATAATCCATCAATGAATCAATCGGTTTATTTCTTTTTTCTTTGAGCAGCAAAAATGACGAAAAATTTTTTTTCGATGTCATCAAAGATATGATGATGATGATGATGATGACAATGCACATCATTCGTTGTTGTGTTGATATTAAATAATAATAATAATAAATGATCAAAAATTATCCTCGACAACAACAACAAATATCAAATATGCATTGACACGAGCAAAAAAAAAAAAACCGATGATCTTGGTGATGATGATGATCATTTTCAGAACAAAAAATAAGTGAAATAAAACCGAAAAGTTTATGTTTGTTCATTGTGAATGAACTCGTTTTTTCATCATCATCATCATCATCATCAACAACAACAACAACAAAAAAATCTTATCCAAAATGTATGTGTTTAATAATTGCATTTTTCTGTTGTTACTTGACATATTATCACATCATCATCATCATCATCATCATCATTGTTATAATATTTTGACATAATAAATCCATCTATCCTTAAAAAAATCAGCCTTGATGTTATATCTCAATATATATTTTTTTTTTTTTTTGATTATAAATCTAACCAAATATTAGTATTGTCATCAATGTTGTTGTTGTTGTTGTCATTGTTGTTGATCATCTTCATCAATGATCATTTGATTCGATTCATCTATCCATTCCATTATTATTTGTCAAAGTGAAAGTGTAACTCATACACATCACATCATCATAATAAGAAATCTATATCTATGATAAAAAGTTTTTTTTTGCTGATAAAATGCATATTATCATCAAACGAATATTCTTCGTTTTGTTCATCACTATCTGTACCATCATAACAACGGGATGGACAAAATTATATCCGATTGAATTTCGTCTTCCATTATTGGTAGGTTTTTTAAAAAATAAACGCCAGTTTTCAATATTTAACATTGATTATTTGTGACAGGGTTTTCAACCATCACCCGGAACACCGTGGCCAAAACCACGTTCAATCAATACAACCGAAAGAGTTTTTTCAATCGATCCAAATCGTTTATCATTCACAACGAATTTAAATACAGAAAATTGTTCAGTACTAGCCGATGCTTTGGAACGTTATAAAAAAATTATATTAATCGATCCACGTTATCAGCCTGAACCACATCATTCTGTAATTGAAAATGTTCATGTTTTTATTTCGGACAATAATCCGGATTGTTCATATCCATCTGCAAATAGTTCAGAAGAATATTCAATTTGGCTTCCACATCCAGAACGTGTAGATCAAGCGGCCATTTCAGCCAATTCTGTTTGGGGTGCTTTACGAGCATTAGAAACATTAACACAGATAATCTACACTAATGATGATCAACAATTGTTGGTAAATGAAACACAAATTCATGATTTTCCTCGTTACAATTATCGTGGTATACTTCTGGATTCGGCTCGACATTTTCTACCGAAAAAAGTGATTCTAGCCAATCTAGATGCTATGGCTATGAATAAATTCAACGTATTCCATTGGCATATAGTAGATGATCAAAGTTTTCCATTTCAATCGAAAAAATATCCAAACATCAGTGAACAAGGTGCCTATTCAAAACGTCATGTTTATTCTGCCGATGATATTCATGAGGTTATTGAATATGCTCGTATGCGTGGTATTCGTGTGATACCGGAATTGGATACACCGGGCCATACACATGCAATGGCAAGAGCATTTCCTGATCTATTAACACCATGTTATGGTGATAATGTTCATCCACATGTACCACGATATCCATTCTTTTCCGAATCTGAAGTTTTAAATCCAATGTTGAATTTTACATTTAAATTTATGCATGATATGTTTGAAGAATTTCGCCAAACATTTAAAGATGAATATATTCATCTTGGTATGGATGAAGTTAGCTATGATTGTTGGCGTTCGAATCCAGAAATTATTCGTTTCATGCGTTCAAATGGAATGACCGATTTTCATCATTTGGAACAATTTTATATTGAACGTACATTACGTAGTGTACGTGATGTTGGTTACAAATATCTAATGTATCAGGATCCAGTTGATAATGGTGTCAATTTGTCTGATGATTCAGTCGTTATTGTTTGGAAAGATAAATATTTGGATTCATCAATGGATTTCTGGCAAAATTATATTCGTAATGTGGCTAAACGTGGTATGTAAAATCACACACACATGGATGATAAATGATAATGATGATGATTAACTCTCTCTTTCTTTTTGTTAAAAAAAGGTTATAAAATGATTCTATCTGCATGTTGGTATCTAAATTATATATCATATCCATATCCAGGTAATGATTGGGAAAAATATTATATGTGTGATCCAAGAAATTTCAGTGGTTCAGATGAAGAACGTGATCTTGTTATTGGCGGTGAAGCCTGTATGTGGGGTGAATTTGTTGATGGTACAAATCTATTATCACGTTTATGGCCACGTGCATCAGCTGTTGCTGAACGTCTTTGGAGTGATCCAGAACAAACACAAGATATCGATACGGCCAGATTGCGATTAGATCAACATCGTTGTCGTATGTTACGGCGTGGTATACCGGCATCACCAATATTAAATGGTTATTGTGGTGATTATGAATGGGAAATGGATCCAATCATTGCACCAAATAATGGCCAAAATGGTTTGAATGGAATCATACCATCTTTGATGCGATTATTTAGTTAATTCATTGAAATTACGGTGAAAACAACAAAATCAAAGAAAGAAAAACCTCAAAACAAACAAACAAACAAGTTCCAACAACAAATTTTTATTTTTCAAAACACTGGATATTTTAATAAAAATTTTCAACAACAAAAAAAAATTCACATCTTTTGTTTTAACCATAAATGATAAAACAAAAGGCTTGCATTTAATTTATATATCAAATGGCTGTCAATTTTTTGAATTAATTTTTTTCTCTTTCATTTAAAAAGCCTGTCTTACACACACAAACACACACATAGTGAATAAAAAAAGGTAAGTTTCTCTCTTCAAGCGACAATGTTGTTTTGTTCAGTCTGTTTGTTCTCTCTCTACTGTATGTGCGCTTTGTGTGCTTGTGTGTGTGTGTGTGGTGGTCGGTCATTCATGTGATGATGTCAACACCCTGTTGACCTTAAAAATTATAATAACCGCATATATGGTTATTGTCCGAATTTAGCTCACGGTTATTGTACTATCGCCGGTAATGATATAGATTCGATTATAACCCGATCATAGTCGCGCGCGCGTACGGAAATTCTGGTTCGTTGACTGCTTTTGAACGGCCAACGACCCGGAAACAAAGTTCAATCACATACAGATATAGTGTTATAGTATACTTTACCATCATTACAAACGGTCGCCGACCTTTTGGCCTGGCTCATTCGTTCTATATTTTCCCTCTCTCTCTCTCACACACACAACGTTGTACATAATGGTATGGTCTTGTTCCAGAAAAGATCAATTGTGGTAGGAGAAGTGTAGAAAGATGTTTATAGTTACCTAACATAACCAATAACCCTAGCTATTACCCACCCACCTATGCCAATTGTTCCTGTTGTATGACCTAACTTATATGAATCTACCTATGTGATCTAGAAGATTTTTACTTTCTCACCATTGCTTTTATGACCCATTTTTTTAGACGACCGAAAGACCTAGGTCTCGTGTATCGTTTGTATGATCCTAGTTTTTTTTTCTTGAATAAAGATGAACTTTCGAACTTTTTTTTATTTCTATAACTAAAAAATAACTAATTCTCAATTTATTTTATACCTTCTTCTTTTATACAAGTAAATTAGAACAGTTCCGGGTCATATTTTAGACATGCGTATCATCCGTATAACTGTTATTTTTAAAAGAGTTAAGCAATAATGGTCAATTTTTAGAACAACAACTTTATGTAACAATAGAGAAATGAGGCACCAATTTAACCTAATTTCAAATCGATGCTCTTCAGTTCAGTTCATTGATCCAGATTTATATTCTCTTCCGCATAGGATGAGTCCATTCATTCTGTTATTTCTGGTTTGGAATTGTATAACCTTTTGAACGTCTTGGTCGTTGGCTTTTTATAAAAAACAATTTTGGCGTTTCCAGAATAGATTCGGCGCCAAGCGCCCACGCATCAACCTTTTTTTCTCAAAAAAATCCAAGCATCCATATGGTAAATGAACTTTCTAACTTTGGGTGAAGGTCGGTTCAATGATAGAAAAGAGGCACCATCAACTAATCGGTTTTGGTCTTCCGAGGTCAGCAACACGATTGAAAGAGGTCAACAAAGGTCAACTAAAGGCCAGAAAACAGACTCAACCTATGGTGTATGTGGTTAGGTCATTCCGAATTGCAATTGATGATTGTCGACAAGGATAACCTAACCTAACCTAACCTAAGGATATTATCATCAATTTTTTTGGGCTATTTCATTTTTTTCGATCAAAATAAATCAATAATCGACTCGACCTAATGGTTATTTCTTTACATTACCACCGCTACCACCACCATCATTATCATTTGTCAACTATGAGCTATTCCTTTATTATTGTCAAAAAAAAGATGAAATTAAAATGCTAGAATTTCTACTTGAATTAAACAAATTCTACATACGAATTTTCTTCGTAAGTAGGGTACCACCGTCGTCTGTATATGTTTCCGGGTTTACTTCCCATACACGTTGTTGTTTTGTTTATTTTTAATTCAACTACAAGAATTGAGATCACAAAAAATGAGGCGCGTTTAAATGAATTATTTTTGTTACGTTTTTTTTCTGTTTCTAGACCATTGAAACAGACCATTTTGAATTTCGATCTAAATTAGATGATGATGGCCTAAAAAAATGGTCGAAAAACAGTACATAACTGGATGAGAAAATTAGATTTTTAGGCTTTAGGGTCAAGGTGATGTAATGTGAGAATGGAATGAATTTTTTATTTTAATTGAAAAAATTTTTAAAATTTAAATCAAGATGTTTTTGTAGCTGTCGTTATGTTATTGTTGTTATTGTTGTCAACCAAAATTTTTCGCTGTAAAAAACAAAGTCAATTACAATCGATTTTCACAAATGCTGGAAAATATCAAATTAAAATTTAAATATATTTACAAAGATGATTTTACTGTCCAGAATTTTTGATAATTCGAAACTCTCCATGGATTTTGCTGCAATGGGATAATCCGATATTGGGATATGACTTTCGTTATAAACCAATGTAGATTTCCATCATTTTTCTTCCACGATTTCGTTTGATGCCGTTTCATTGTCCATTTGAATTATCAATAAAATCAATGTCTTTTCTGTAAGTGATTGATATAGATGTCAAATGGTTATTTAGCTTTGATTTCTGCAATACAATATTTGGGAAATTGAATTGCAATTGATAATTTTCCGAAATACTTCCAATTGATTCCGAACCAAAATAGCGAAAGCCAAAATTATTTCGGATTACGGAACTTATTTTTTCCATAAATTCTTTTGGTCTCATTTAATTAATTTTAGCAAATACTTTTCTTTTAAAATAACAGATTTGTTTCGATGATTTTGATTCAAATTTTTTGATAAATATTTTTTAATCAACAATTTATATAATTGATATTAACTCAAAAGGCCCTTCTTGGGGCATGTGTCTTTCACAAATAATTCAATTTGACATCAGGCACTGATGAACCGAAGCCACATAACCTAACCAACCAATTCATTTTCTTCTTATTCCATTGTATTTGATGATTTTCAGGATTGGCCATTGCCGATCTAGTTTTTAAAGAATAATAAAATTGTTGGGCCGGTAAGATGATTGGTGATGATCAATTTTGGAAAATTTATATTTTTTTGTCTCTCTTTGGCAAATGTGCTGCCATCTGGTTTTGTAAAAAAAATTACATTCTTGAATGTTGTTGTGTTACAAGCAATGAGATCAAGTTTTACAGCGCATGAGCGGTACCCTTTAGCGGGGTAAACGAACAACTCTCGAAAAGATAACCAATTCCTTCTTTTGCCATCAAATTTAATCATAACCTTTGGTATGTTGCGACACGCATTGTGTTAATATAAAACAAAATTAATATTTTCTAAATCACTACATATATGAATGATTTCTTTGTATTGTATTTTCATTGTTTTATTGAACATTTATTATTAATAAAGTTTAGTTTGAATCAGCAACTCATTGTGACACATTGTTATCAATTTTAATTTTTGAGTCAAAGAACTCCCAAATTGACTTAATTTTATCCATGTAAGATTCAATTTTCTTTTCCGATTGGATCAACAAATCGCAAATATACGGTTTGTGAAGAACGTTTGAAAACGTTGCGTTCATTTTGTTTGCTGGCTGGTGTAGAACCTTCTACATTTGAAGAAGCTGAAAAATCAGAAGAAAAAGATAAATGGAAGAAAGCTATGGATGAAGAATATGACGCTTTGATTAAGCACAAAACGTGGAAGTTGGTTCCACGACCAGTTGATAAGAATATTTTCCGTATCAAAAACGATGGTCGTTATAAAGCACGATTGGTAGCTCGTGGGTTTAGTCAGCGTAAAAATGAAGATTATTTTGAGACGTATAATCCTGTAGTGTCAATTGAAACAATTAGATTGGCGCTTTCGATTGCAGCAACATTGAATTATAATGTTTGTCAATTTGATGTGTGCATTGCTTTTCTGAATGGTACAATTGATGACGAAATTTACATACATGATTGATTAATGGCCAAGATGACACTTTTTATACATTTCGTACTTGAAACGATACATTGGTTGTTAAAAAACTGGTGATTATTATGGATGATAATTAAATAAGAGATTCACTTTGAAATTGAAAATCGATACATTCACATTCATTTGATTGACAATGACGGTTACGTTTCAATAGTGGCCATGAAACATCAATTCTCCCATTACATCAAAACAAAAAAAAATTGTGAATTTCATAAGACAAATTTAGAAAAAAAACCAACCACAATTTTGATTTTTAATCGATTATTTGTCATTTTTTTAATTTCATCGATTTAAACAAAAAACACATACAAACATGACATACAAAATAAATAAATCAATCAAATACAATTATTGATCGGATACATTTTCCATCTTTTAAAGTTTGAAATGCATCATTGATTTGATCCAATTTAAATTTGTTCGTTATCAATTCATCAATTTTGATTTTTTTATCCAAATACAAATCAACCATTTCAGGATAGGCAAGATAAGCTTTTTTAGCGCCAAGTTGACAACCCGTGATTGTACGGCCAAACAACAGCATAATGACTGGATATTTTAATGTGACTTCAGCTCCTGTCACTCCAACCATGATGAATGTACCAGACATTGCTAATGAATTGACAGCCTGATCAACAATCACTTGGCTACCAAAACAATCAAATGCATAATTAAGACCACCATATTTTTCCATTAGATATTGTTCCAATGGTTTATCCAATTCTTTTGGGTTAATAAATTCAGTGGCACCAAATTGCATTGCAATATCACGTTTATCAGGATTAATATCGATTGCAATGATATTCTTGGCTTTATTATATTTACATCCTTGCAGCGTATTCAAACCAATACCACCGACACCCCAAATACCACAGGTGGATTCAGGTAAAATATCTGCTCGGTAAACGGCAGAATAGAAACCAGTTGCAGCAGCACAGCTAACAACACAAAGATTAGCAAGATTATCTGTTTGTTTGATCTAAAAAGGGTTGAAAAATAATTGAATTATTGTTATAATAAAAAAAACAACCAATTTTCTAACCTTGATAACTTGAGGTCGATAAACTGTAATGTATTCGCTATATGTACCAGTTCCGGTAGCACCATAGATATTATCACCATTTTTAGCCAATTTTCTTGTCGGTCGACATCCAGTAACATTAAAGGCAAAATTTGAACACATATTATTATTAGGTATGTCACATTGGATACATTTTTGACAATTTGGTACGAATGTAGTCAACACATGATCACCGGGTTTTAAATCGGTTACATTTCGGCCAACCGATTCAACAATACCAGCACCTTCATGACCCAAAACTGTTGGTAATTTATGGAAAAGATCACTCATTTTTTGCTGTCCCCAAACATAATGACCATCACTGGCACAGATACCAGCCGAAATCATTTTGATTCGAACTTGATCATCATCAGGTACAGGTATGATGACCTCTTCAATAACCATGGGTTTACCTTCTTCATATAGAATTGCAGCACGACATTTAATTGGCTAAAATCAATATGAAAAAAAATATATTCAAGAATAAATCTCGATAAACAAGACACTTACTTCGGACATTTTTTTTTGTTAAAGAAAATATTTGAAAAATATATCGAAAAAAATGCTTTTTACATTTGATGACAATGATTAAACTGAATATAAATGTTGTTTTGGAAAAAAGTTTAAATTTATACCGATATATAAAAATCTTGTTTGTCATTCGTTCAAAACATATCATTACACGAATTCAAATCCTGTTTATTGATATATATCATAAAATTTGGCATTGAAAAAACATTGCAAAGATATAGATGATTATATTGCTATACATCATACATATGTAATGTAAATTGACAATAATTATATTGAATTCATTTGCAAAAAAAAATCATCATCATTATTGACAGTTGATATGAGCAGTTTATATGAATCAAATGTTTTTTTTATCAATTTTAGAAATAAACAAATTTGTACAGTCCATGTAATCTATGTTGGTTGTTGTTAGTCAGTGATTATAAATTCAACTATATATATGAAACACGGGATAACACCAACAATTGCAAATATTGAACAAATTTATATTTGATTGAATTCGTTTCCAATTACACGATAATAATCAATTGATTCTCTTTAACTAATCTACAATGGTTTATCAGCAATGTCTAATCAATATTATTCAATGAAACAAAGATTACAATTGATATTTTCCAGATATTTATTCGTCAACATCAAAATATTTATGCCGAAATTGAAAATATTGTTTGCCATGATGAATGCAATAAATAATCAAAATTTCGTGATAATTACAGGTTTTTGTTTCATGATTCTAACACCAAATCAATGAATGAATTTTAATGAATCAAGGAGAATTAAGGAAAATAAATAAGAAAGTGATAATGCAAACATAATACAAAAATGGTATACAAATGATGAATCTAGCGATAAAATAAAATCTTGTACCACAATCTATTAATAATTAAATTATTGGACCGATCATTGTTGATGGTATTGTTAACGGTTTTAACAATGGTCAACAATCATCAACTTTGTGATCAAAAATCATTTTTCCCAGTGCATTTTTTTTACTATCAATCAAATTGGAACCTTCTTCCATTATCGATGTTGATGATATCGGTTGAAAAAAACCCCTTGTGACGTCACCACACCCTATTATTTTCTCATCATCATTGTAATTGGTTAATGATTTGACGGCAAATATATTATCGAGTCATTATCGAGTCATAATAATAATATTAATCAAAAAACAATTATTCGTCATCAAAATCCTGAATATGAACTTATTCGTGAACATTCTGAATTTTGATCAACATCGAAAAAAATATCTAATCGAAACTGGTGACCAAAATGGTCAATATCGTATTGTGAAAGATTTACCACCATTGTCTGTTCGTGGTCGCGATCATTCCATATGAATGTCCATACAATAATTTATCAACCTTTCATCACCATGACAATTGGCCAGATCAACAAGTTCGGCTATGTTTTGACGATTAATATGATCCTGTATTTGTAATTTTCATAATGCTAATTCTGTTTTTTAAATAAAATTTACATTGAATAGAATGAATGAGATATAACCACCCCTTATAATTCATTTAATCCGAACGAATTATCCATATGGATGGTTCTGGTAGAACGGAAAAAAATTAAGCTAAGCAAGTCATTTGAATTGTTTTGATTTTGATTTTTGATCAAAATTGTAAAGAAAAATGAAAAAGTAATAAATTTTTATTTTTTTTTTTAACAATATGGAATGAATGATTGTTTATGGTAAAAAGTATAGTAAAGATAGTTTAAAAAAATTTTGTATGTTTGGATGATGAAGATTGAATGTTTTACAATATTCCATTAATTTTAAATCACCATAACAGTTTGCAAGATCAACAAGTTCGGTAATGTTCTCACGATTAATATAAATTTTACCAGTATGTAACATAAGCAAGTAGGCATAATATGTTTCATACGAATAATCGTTAATGATCACTTGATCATTTTCAATCCAATTACCGGAAAACATTCGACGATAATATTCCGATACAGATTTTAGATAACATTTGCACGCCATGATAAGTTTTTTGTCAATTTTAAATTCCACATCATAATTATCATGATCATTGAATAATCGTAAGATTGATTTGTACGATATTGACGATTTGTACGATACGATCTGAATTTATAGATTGTTGATGTTAATCCGAATGTTATTGGTGATGATAGAATCATTGTCGATGCAGCTACAAATGATGTCAGATAATAATCATCCAATCTTCTAGGTGATGACCATATGCCATATTTGGTTTTTCCCCAGGCATAAGTAAGAGAAAAATCATATAAAAATGAAATAAAATAAAAAGTTGTAAAATATATTTTGCGCAGGTGTTATAATATTGTTTCAGAGCCTTTTGTAGATAGCTTCCATGAACTCTAGCCAGTGGGGTAATTCTTTTGGTGATATACTGAGGGATGTTAGTATTTTGTACGTTTGGATAATGATGATTGTTGGTTTCCATTTTTGTTCAGATGACCAATCTCATAAATAAATTTAATAAATTTCTCCTTTTTGGGTTATCAGAAAACTGAAAGAACCACCACAAGCAATACGTTCGCCAAGATTTCAAAATTGCAATATTTCGATAAACAATAAAAATTAAAATAACTGCGTAGGAAACAGAAAATAGCGATTATGAAAACATTGTGTTGTGCAATTAAAAGTGGTTATGGCTGGACATTAAATGCATTATTCGATGGAAGCGCCAAGAATCATTTCATCACCATCCATTGTTTATGTGTGTATGTAATGAGCAAAATCGAAATCAAAAATGACGAACAAAATCAAAATCGTGAATATTAAGCCCGTTTTTTTTATTTGAACATAAAGAAAATGGAAATGTATAAGTAAGAAAATTAATTTCATCAACATACACACTCATCGAGCACAAATCACAGGAACAAATGTGTGTGTGTGTTTGTTGTGACATAACCTTTCATATATAACGTGTTATTTTTCGCTAATTTTTATTGCGCTAATTTATTTAGCTATCTTTTATAATAATTTGGTTTCATTATTTTTGATGTTCGAAGTTCGGAGCCAAACATAAGCTTATTTGGTGTGAGGATGTGTCCGTTTAATTCAGCGATCGGACGTGAATTAATGATTGACGATAATTCGTAAAGAATAGTTCGGAAATTGTCGATGGTTAAATCTTTACCCCATACTGTTGAATATAAAGCCTTCTTTGTGGTTTTGATCATCGCTTCCCAAGCACCACCTCGATGAGGACTGTATGGCGTTATGAAATGCCATTCAATTTTGATCTGGTTTAAACAGTCATTAAGAAGCTTTCCTAACTTCCTAAATTATGGATGTCATTCAGAATTCTGCTGGCTCTGCCATGCAGCGCTGGTGATAAAGGATCATCCCAATCGATTTTTCTCGTCCATAGTTCACTGATAAAGAATTTCAGTTGGATGGTAGATGGTAAAAGCAAACCCATAGGGTCGTATATTGAAGCTAGTGTTGTGAGCAATGATCGTTTAGTGACGTCCTTTGAGAAATTGATAAGTGGTATTACAACTTGGATGGTGTCATCACTTTTGTTCCATATAACTCCAAGCACTTTATTTTCTCCCAACCCGTCGCACCATAACTTGTCGATTTCAGGATCCGAGCATTGCCATTTTCTCAGTTCCATGGATGCATCTTCGAAAATTTTTGAACTAGCGGTATGAAATTCTGATGTCTCAATTTTGCTGTTTACAGAATGAACTAAATCATCCCCGTATAGATTTGAATGAATAGCTGCTACAACGTCAGGAAATTCACTTCTGTATTTCTCGATATGGTGATTGATGACAACATTCAGAATGAACGGTGATGATGTGAGACCAAAGGGAAGACGGAGAAATTTATAGCAAAAAATATTTTCTTTGTTTTCGTCGAACCATAAAAACTTCACGTATTTTTGATGATCAGGTTGAATGTGGATATTGTGAAAAGCAGCTTTGATGTCTGCTATGAATGCGATAGTTGCAAATATAGTTTGATGCGTCATCAAAATGCTCAACATAACCTTAATCTATCCTAACCTGTAAAATGGACAAGAGAATAAGGAAAAGAATATACGATTCATTCATGCACCCAGCAGCGTTTTTTGATTTTAATCCGGTGGTTCCAGAGAATCAATTTCCAAATTGTTCGTCGGCGATCCTATGAAGATAAATATTAGCCGTTTGGGTTCAATTAATCTATCTTACTTGTTTCAAGTACACTATTTCCGAAATAGGGTCCTTTCAATTGTTTCGATGGGTCGAATGTTTCAAGACAATGTATTCAAATTCCGTTTATTCGTGGGTCAAAACAAACTTCTTTGTCCGGTTCTTTGTCTGAAATTCAATTTGGCCAATATTGAATTCGCCGGCGATCCTGGCGAAGACCAAAATAATAAACTGAAAGATATTGTTGTTAGCATTAATCTATTCATCGTTACATACCATGATTCATTTTCAAGTATGTCTTTGTCATCCCATGAATTCCCTGACTTATAATGGGACAAAAGTTTTCGATCTTTAGTTCTTCAACATATGATGAACTCCAAACGATTCAATCAGCATCAAATCTCAATAGGAAGAAGTTCAGATCATGTTCCTAAGCCTAATCTACCCAACCCTAGCCTAAAAATAATATTATCCTACGTATATTAGCGTTTAGAGACATGGCCAACCATTCTTGAATTGAATGCTGATGAACAATGGAACTGTCGAATTGATCTCGAACATAATCATCAATCTGAATTTCAATAACAACAAAACATTGTTACATATTTGCTCCAAATTCAATCAGGAACTTACTACACTACATGGCAAAAAGATAGACCAATCTCAGTTAAACATTTCGAATATGAAGAATGAATATGTCGACTTTACTGAAACAGAGTATGATGATTGGGCATTTATAGTTGTTGCAACAATGTCAATTCAATGCAGGAAATATATTTAATGCCGTTCGGAGGTTCCTATGTTAGAACTGGCTGTATAGCGAAATTGTGAAAGTTACCTGGATGACGATAGTGTATATCCACCAATAATGGGGAAAAGTCTATGTACACAGAAAGGTAATTGAGACTGGTCGGCAATTTATGTAATGCATGGATCGTCAGTTTTATAAAGACGGCACCAATTTTGGAGTTCCAATGATTTTGGAGTAAACGACTAAACGATGATGACTATCAGTCAGTGCCGCTATCACATAAGTGTTCCAAAAGACAAGGACCCCTCTTTTAATTGGTTAGCCCCATTTTCAATCTGGCGCAAATATGTGTAAATTACTCATTCGACTATGCATTGAAATATTAATCCGAATTCCAATTATTGGCACATCAAGTATAATGGACTTGAAAAGAAAACTTAAGGATTTGCGCTTGGACAAGGTTAATTGTCTCTGATGAAAACAAATGTCATAAATCGTTGTCCATGTTCCAAGTCAAAAATTTGGATTTGTGGTTCGAGAATCACTTCTCAACTTGTTCTGAACGATTACATGATGAAGCAACATGTTTGTTCAATTACGATTCATTCATTTGATTTCCATAATAATTTTGATCTTAGACTACAATAACTTTGATGTCAAAGATAATTCAAATCGATGTCCAAATTCCTTTCCATGGTTCGAAATTCAATTCCAAATTGTTCGCTGGCAATCCCAAACGAAGATTAAAATTAGTTGCTTGTTCAATGAAAAAATACCACATGATCACGCATGATCATAGCGCAAAGTCGAATGAGGACAACCGTCTTGACGATCGTTGAGTTATTGTCATCGATTTTTTCAATCGGTTCATTGATTCCAAATTTGTATGGGAATCAGAAGGGGAAAAGAAGTAGCGCAGAATTTGCATTTCGAAAATAGTTACTAAGCCTTATATGACCCTATGCGTGCCGTTTCCATTAGTTGATGTCTTTAGACTTTAGGTGGCAACCATGAATGCATTGTTTTGATGCCATAGATTTAGCATGAAAAATGCAGCGTTCGCCTTTCTTTCGTACCGCTCAAAGAGAACGTAACGACTGTGGTAGCGATATATCGAATTCGAAAAAAAATTCGAAAAAATGTTAAGTGCCGTTATAGCGAAATGCCGTATAAAGAGCTGCCGTATAGCGAGGTATGGGTGTATTAACTGCTACTAAGCATCCTGTGTTTCATTGTTGATGCAATGCTCATTTCATTTATAATATTGATTGTGGTCAAGGTTTATTATATTTGTGGCGAGACGATCGTTCGAAAGAAATCGAGTATCGTCGTTTGAGATTCTGATCCATATACTCATTCATATAATGGATATGTTTTTTCCCAAGACAAAGCATATAAAGATTCCAAATATTTTCGGTGCTGTTATAAACAAACACATAATTGTTTAGCACGATTAATCATAAAAAATGACATAATCAAACAAAAAAATGATCACAAACATCCAGTGGACATTGATTTGATTGGAGCAAAGAAAATTGTTAACCAAATGAAGGATTCAGCGAAAAGTTATCCACGAAGCCCAAGTAAAATTTTGTGAGAAACATTACTAGAAAAAAGAGACAATTTTTTCGTATCACATTTACCATCATACAATAATTTGACGCGCACTATTCTAAGAGCTGGTACTAAACGGCGACAACCATGGAATCTCGATGAATTGACTTTGTTGCCTGAAGATATGAATATTAATGGGGTGCAATTTTTACAAAAAGATGTATGCATCGAAATCAACGACAAAAAACAACGCATCTTAATTTTTACAACAGATGATAATTTGATGATGTTAAAAAATTCACCAATTTGGGCAGTTGATGATAATTTTTCCGTGGTTCCCTCAATTTTTGTTCAATTATTCACTATACACATTTTCCATGATGAAATGGTAAAACAATTATTTTATTAATACACTTGGTTAATTTTTTTTTTTAGTCATTCCCATTGGTTTACTGCCTAATGACGGGCAAAAAGAAAAAACTTTACAACGAAATTTTTGGCTACTTAAATTCAAAAGAAGTTTTCCCAAAGATTGTGATGTGTGACTTTGAAAGTTCTGTGCACAATTCATTAATTGAAAATTTTCCAAATGTTTCTATCAAAGGATGTTTTTTCATCTCGTTCAAGCTTTTTTTCGAAAAGCTAAAAAAATATTTGGTACTAACCTAACCTAACCTGATGATATAATAATACAAAATAGTGATAACTCCTCCGATGATAAAACACTCGATCAATCCAATAATTATAATATTGATTTTGACTTGATTAAATCACGAATATTTTCGGATGCATATTTTTATGAAAAAGAATTTATTCAACGATTCTCAAAATTGAAAATGGAAAAAGACAGACTTGTCTATCTATTTTTTGGTTCCTTGTAACATTGAAAAATTGAAAGAAATAAATTTTAGCTTGAACAATGAATATTCATTGTTCAATCAATTTATTATGTTGGTCAGGGAAAAAATTATCGTCCAGTTAAACATTTTTTAGATGCACTTCATGAATCTATGAATGACACAAAATTGGATGCACATCCAAAAGCTCAAAGAATTCGGAAAATATTGGACAGTGGGTTGCATCCAATTATATTTACGGTTTATAAAGGCATTTCCTTAAATCAAGCTCAAACAAGAGAGGCTTTGATTATTGATATCAATGATCTAACCAATAACATTTGCTGCTATTATCGGGAAAAATCGAACCAGAATATTAACAAATGAAAATTTTAGGTTCTTATTTCCTTTATAAAATTTTCAAAAATTATTTAAAAAGTTATTTTGAGTCTGGTTTAACCAACCTAACCTAATTTTCAATGATCATTTTTATTTTTCTTTATTGTTTTTTTCTAAATTTTGTTTGTTATATTAACATTTATCTTTGTATTTTTTATTATTTTATTATATTATTCATACTGGCCATGTCCGGCGATTAAATAAAGATTCATCTTTAAAAAAACCTAACCAACCTAACCTAACCTAACCTAAACCTGAAAGAAACCTGTATCATGTCACCAGAATGAAGATGACGATTCTCAATTCCAAGAAATACCATCCAATTTCAATATTTGTTCAATTTATATTATGTATAATTCATTCAAAAATTAATTCATTTAATATGTCGTATTCAACAACATTATGATTTCATTATTATCTTTGTAATTATTTGTTTGGCCATTGCCAAACCAGTTTATTGATGAAATAAAATATTTTTCATTTAAAAAAAAACCTAACCTAAACTAAACTAAACATTTTTGATTCGTTAACATTCGTTCGACAATCCACCGGTGCAGTTCATCCCCCTATTAAACTACAAGAATTGAGATCACAAAAAAATGAGGCGCGTTTAAATGAATTATTTTTGTTACGTTTCTAGATCATTGAAACAGACCATTTTGAATTTCGATCTAAATTAGATGATGATGGCCTAAAAAAAGGGTCGAAAAACAGTGCATAACTGGATGAGAAAATTAGATTTTTAAGCTTTAGGGTCAAGGTGATGTGTGATGTGAGAATGGAATGAATTTTTTATTTTAATTGAAAAAATTTTTAAAATATAAATCAAGATGTTTTTGTAGATGTCGTTATGTTATTATCGAGAAATTTATCAAAATCAATTACAATACGACGCTGTTTAGGTGTATATTGTATCAATTCAATACCAGCCATTACTAATAATTTTCGACTTGCTTTAAATCGAATATCATCATGATATTTGTCGGTCATAAAAACAACACGTCGTATACCGGCCTGTATGATCATTTTAGCACATTCATTACAAGGAAAAAGTAACACAAAAATTGTACAATTTTTACAATCATAACTATTTTTGTTCAATATGGCATTCATTTCAGCATGGCAAACATAAAGATATTTAATTTGCATTGGATCCACATTCGTTCGATCCCATGGTAGCTGATCATCTGAACAATTATTTGGCATACCATTATAGCCAAGACCAACGATACGATTGTCATCATTAACGATACAGGCACCAACACGTGTATTAGGATCTTTTGATCGTAATGAAACAATATAAGAAATGGACATAAAATAATCCCACCATACTAGATAATCGGTTCGTTTGCTAGTTGAAGGCGTTGCAGGTAAATCCTGTTCCATTATTGAATCACGGTTTTGTTCATAGCCAAACGAAGTGTTTAACGATTGTCCATGGCCATCATCAATATCATCTTGTAAATCTAAATTTTGTTTTTGATTTCCCATTTTTTTGAGCCAACAGAAAAAAAAGTTCAATTTTCAATGAAATGTGCGCGAACCGCATGTTTTCTTGGATATTTCTCATTCGAAATCCATACATTTCTAGAAAATTTACTCGGCAGTCTGTTTTTGACATGTGTGATTCTTTCATATTATTGACAAATTAATCTATAATCGATTCATCGACAAAATGTTCGGTGAAGTAACTTCAAGTTTTCAATCATCATCATCGAAAACAACAACAAATGTTGCATCTAATGGCAATGATGGTATTAATAATGCTACTTCTGCTGAACATGGACTACGTTCAAATCAATTCCATCCAGGTCTAAATCATGATTATCGTTATCGTGATCAAATGTATCGTTTGATAATATCACAATTATATTATGATGGTCAAGCTCAATTAGCTAAAAATATATCTGGAGTCATGGGTATATTGGATATGTGTCCACCTTCCGATCGTCTTTATCAAACAGTGGCACAATCATTGATTACGGCAGGTGAACCACCGACAAAATCTTCCAATAATGATTCACTATATTCATCTAATGATAATATGTTAACGAATGGAATCGATTTGGATTTCGAAACCGAACGACAACCATCGGCATCATCACTTGCTCCTTCATCATATGAAACCATTTACGTTACATCACATAAAGGTCCTTGTCGTACTGGATGTTTTAATTATAATGGTCAATTATTGGCTACAGGATCTGTCGATGCTAGTATTAAAATTCTGGATGTAGAACGTATGTTGGCCAAATCATTCATTCCAATCAATACAAACAATACTAGTAGTGGTCAGAATGAACAACAACAGCAACAACAACAACCACCACCACAACAACAGGAACATAATTCCGATAGTCATCCTGTTATTCGAACTTTATATGATCATATGGAAGAAGTATCATGTCTAGTATTTCATCCACGTGATCAATTTCTCATATCTGGTTCACATGATATGACCATAAAAGTTTTTGACTATTCAAAACCATCAGTAAAACGTGCCTGCAAATCTATACGAGAATCGAATACGATTCGTTGTTTGGCCCTTCATCCAACTGGTGATTATCTTCTAGTTGGTTCACAACATCCTACCATTCGTTTATATCATATGCCAACATTTCAATCATTCATTTCACCAGTGATCACTGATCAACATAAAGGTCCAATTACATCTATATGTTATGCACCGAATACTCAATGTTATGCATCCAGTTCAAAAGATGGAGATATTCGTATTTGGGACACCGTCTCAAATCGTTGTATTTGTGTATTACCACGTGCTCATGAAGGTCTTGAAATTTGTTCACTTCAATACTCTCGCAATGGAAAGGTAATCATTGTTTTGTTTTTGAATTAAATTCATTTTGCTAATTCAATTTGTGATTCCTTTAGTATTTGTTATCAAGCGGTAAAGATTCAATGGTCAAACTCTGGGAATTATCCATGTCACGTTGTTTGATTGCCTATACGGGTGCCGGACAAAATGCACAGAAACATCGTACACAGGCAACATTTAATCATACTGAAGATTTTGTAATGATGCCCGATGAAATGTCAACATCATTATGTGTTTGGGATGCACGAAATGCTGAACGTCAACCATTACTGGCTTTAGGACATAATCAACCTGTACGACAAATTTGTCATTCACCTGTTGGACCTTGTTTCATAACTTGTTCGGATGATTATCGTGCACGATTCTGGTATCATCGACCACCGCCTACATCCGAATGAAATGGATGACATTTCGTAAAAATTTTTTATAATCAAATGCCATTTCAATTTTTTGAATGTCATTATTTTTTTTTGTTTTGCTTAAATGATCATGAACTTTTAACCGATTGAAAAAAAGGAATTGACATTTTTTGTTATTAACCCGTTTCGATTGAATTAATTTGATGATGCATTAAATGGTCATATAAAAAGCCACACTTTACAATCATATTCTTATCATCACATATATTAATCCATTAAAAATTTGATTGAAAAAGAAAAATTTTCACGTTTAATAAAACAACACAATCGACGACTGAAACAAAAATGAAAGGTGAAAATGAATTTTTTCAATTTCTCGAACTAATTATTATTCTTCTTTTTTTTTGTTTACTTTTAGCCTCTTTGTTTATTGGATTTTTATTGGTGGCCATAATGGTAATCGTAGCCAAAGCTCAAGTTATTGATGATGATGAACAATTTGACATTTCAAGAAAAGATGGTGAAAAATTTGATAAAAAAAATCCCAAACTTCAAGGCTTCTCGTTTGCTAGTATTCGAAAAAATATTAAATTCTTAGTGATTGGAAGATATGGTTATTTTGAGAAAGCTAAAGAATTCTTGAGATGTTTGAATCTCAAAATTCTAGAATCATGTTCAGCACAAATAATCGAATGTTTGAAAACAGAAAATCCAAAAATTTGTATGGCATCTCTTTTCTGTGGTGGAGAACAAATCAGGGAATGTTTACATCATCTGCCAAATGAACCACTAGTAAACTAAAAAAAAAAAAAAACAACAACTGATTTTTAATTGATCATTTTTTTTGTTGAAATTTTTTTTTTTTGAACTTTATAATTTACTTTGAACATATATTTTAATCAATTTGTTTGAAAATGTCAGCTTTTTTCATTGGTTTAAATGTTATATAAATGATCATGAACTTTTAATCGGTTGAAAATAAAAAAATTGCCATTTCTTTGTTTTATTAACCCGTGAATTAATTCGATGATGCATTGAATATATGAAAAATGGTCATATAAAAAGCTCACACTTTACAATCATATTCTTATCATACACACACACATTTTGATAATTCATTCAGAATTTGTTTGAAAAAAGTAAAAAAAATTTATTCCATCAACCAAACAAACTGAAACAAAAATGAAAGGTGAAAATTTCAATTTTTTCAATTTCTTGAACTAATTATCATTCTTTTTTTTCACGTGCTTTTTTTAGCCTCTTTGTTTATCGGGTTTTTATTGGTGGCCATAATGGTAATCACAGCCAAAGCTCAAGTTGTTGATGATGATGAACAATTTGATATTTCAAGAAAAGATGGTGAAAAATTTGATAAAAAAAATCCAAAACTTGAAGGTATCATGTTTGGAAGTATTCGAAAAACAATTAGAATTTTAGCAATTGGAAGATATGGCAGTTTTGACAAACTGAAAGATTTCTTGATATGTTTGAATATCGCAATTCTGGAATCATGTTCAACACAAATAATCGAATGTTTGAAAGCAAAAAATCCAAAAGATTGTATGGCATCTCTTGTCTGTGGAAAGGAAAAAGTTATGGCAAATTGTTTAAATCATTTACCTGATTTACCGAAAAAGTAAAATCGTAAAATTGATTTTTTTGTTTGTTTGTTTGTTTGAAAATTTGTTTTTTTTTTGTTGAACTTTATAATTTACTTTTGACATTTTTAAATTTAAATATGAATAAAAATTATTGAATCAAAATTCTTTATTTAGTATTTAAATCAATTTTTTCATCAATGTTTTTCATCATTATTCAAGTATTACCCAAATTGTACAAAAGATATATATTTGAATTCAAGACAAACATTGTCATCATTCAACAACGATGCGAGGTATTTATTGCCATATTCTACTTGATTGATTAAAACTGATTTTTTTTCCTTTCTTTCATTAGCCATTATTTTCATCAACCTGTTTATTGTGATGATGATTGCATTTGGATCATCATCATGTGATAATGTTAATTATTATCAATCGCGGCCATTAATGATGCCGCCACCTGACTATGATGACCATAATAGACCAATAATTGGAAATCCATTCACTAAATGGAAACAAGCAATACGTACTCTTTATCATAAACTTGGTGGTTCACCAAAAATCATAAAATTCATACAATGTTTGGGAAAACAATTTTTTCAAGAATGTGGTCAACACATTATGACTTGTTGTACTACAGTTAATACAGTTGAATGTATGAATATGTTACCATGTGGTGGTCAAGTCGTAAAAACTTGTTGGCAATTACAACAACCACAACAACAACAACAACATCAGCAAAAATTGGGATATTATGGACAATCAGATTATAATTATGATGATTCTGATTATTATTATTAATTTCAATCAATGATAATAATATTGAAATATATAGAAAAAATAAAATAAAATTTTAATTTTTCTTCTTCATTTAAAATACATTTTCGATAAAAAGGGAATAAGAGAGGTAGAGAATAAAGGAATGAATCACAATTTAATTTCTTCAAAACCATCACTTGATCCATAATAATCGGATGTATGTCTATGTTGGACAACAATTTCTTTTGTATTTGTGGAATGATGAGGATTAGGATTATTATTAGGATCATTTTTTCGAAATAGCCATGAAGATGATGAAAAATTTAAACTATTAGATTCTTTTGCTGGTTGCTGCTGTTGCTGTTGTAGCCTGGATAGATTATGTTCCATTTGTTCCAATTCTAAACGTTTAGCATCTAAAGATTCTTCCAATCTTTTTGTTTTTTCATTTAACTCATCGATTAATCGTTTTTGTTCACGAACGACTAGATTCAATTGACTTGGATCCGAAGATGATGATGATGATGATGATGAATTTGGTCGAGACCTTTTTTGGTTATTTATTTTAAGCTCTTGTTCTAACATTAAAATTCGTTGTTCCAATTGATTACTTTGAGATTCTGTTTCAGCAAGCTAATTTATAGTAAAACAAAAAAGAGAGATAGAGATTAGAATGAGATAAATAATCAAGCGAAACAAAAAGAAATGAAAACATACTTTATAGGCAAAATTTTCATTTTCAATTTCAATACAACGATTCAATTTTTTCAATACAGAATTATTTTCCTCTAGATCAAATAATTGTTGTTGCAGATCATTGATACGATTTTCATAACTGATCAATTGTGTATTGGCTTTTTGGCAGCCAATACAATCATTATTTTTGTTCGATTCTTTTCCAGAATCATCATCATTATCATTTTGGCATAAAGAATGGACAAGATCAATACAACTACGACTTGGACGTCTTGAGAAATTATGATCATCATGAACATTATTATTATTATCTTTGGTATCATTAGTAGTAAGTAGTAATCACATTTAAATTATGGCAATCAAAAAACGATAATGTTGAATGTGAATGTGTCATCATCTGATGATGATCACCTAAAATCATCGTTCTTGATGAACATTGAAGTTTTGAATTTTTATTGACTAGTTTTTTGGAACCACCATGACGGCGAAGATATTTAGCAAAAAAATCATTTGAATCTTCATCATCATCATCATTATCACCGTCATCATCATCTTCATGATTTAATTGTTCATTGTTATTATTGCTATTTGAATGTTGTTGTTGTTGCTGCTGTTGTTGCTGCTGCTGTTGTTGTAAAAGTTTAGAATGTAGGAATCCATTTTCTTCCTGTAAAGTTTCCAAACGTTCCATGGATAATTTCCAGACATGGCCAACATAATGTTCAACTTCCTGTCATAAAAATTAAATTTAAACAACAACAAAAAAACAAAAGATTTTAATTACTACCACTAACATTTAATGATCAATGAAAAAAGAGAGAGAGAGTTGGTTTAAAACAATTAATTAATACAAAATCTAATCAAGTCAATCAATTCAATTTTTATGATAGGCAAATAATTTTTGACTTATAGGAGAGAAAAATGAATATTGAAAACATATTGAGGTGAGTAATTAAAAAATTAAAAAAAAAAAAATATATAAATCCTCTTATGAAATTATTATTGACACGAAAAGGACGAATTTCGTTTTCATTTGAATTTTGCATCATTACTGATGATGATGATGATCACAGCAGCATTTAGAATCATCAGATAAGTATACACGAGTTGTTTTTTTTTCTTGTTTGTATTTCTTTCTTTTCTTAAATATATTATTAAGAGATAAGAGATAGCGAGAGAGAGAGAGAGAGCAATTAAATTTTGAAAAAAATGTAATGGTAATTTGATTTGTGATGACATTCACGAGATCCGATCATCATCAACATCATCATGGTTTATAATTGTTGAGGTCATGATAATTCAAATTATCATTTTTTTTTTGTTTTGTTTTGTTATAAATTTTTTAACCATGACATTTTTTTCAATTTCTGTTACCTGTAGCTCTTGTTCATGTTGTATGCGCATCTTTTCCAATTGATGTCGTAATGATTGACAATTGATTTCAGCATCTACTAGCCATCGCCATACATGTGGTAATTTTTTTGAATCATTCAATTTTTTCGGATCAATTCCTTCATTTTTGAATCGTTCAAGCATTGCCATTTTTTCATCATCCGTTCCAGCCTGTTTATTATTATTATTATTTATTTATTGTTTATTAGTTGTTGTTGACGATGATGATGATGGTTCAATGAAAAAACAAAAATTGATTGATCAATTTATTATCAATCAATAAAAAAAATTGATAATAATAATTTCAAAAGGTTTACCTTGTGAAATTTAAATAAACTTTTCGGTATTAAACGTGGATCAATCTGTAACATCATTGATGATAAAGGTGATGATGCCGATGATAATATCGATATTGTTGAATGTTTACGTGGTTTTGTTGGCTGCTGCTGTTGTTGTTGTTGTTGTGTTGATGATGATGGCGGTAGCGGTGGCGGTTGTTGTCGTGGTTTGCCAGAATGTTCCATCATGGTCAAATTATTATTAAATGAATGTTGTTTAACTATAAATCCATAACAATAACCAAAAAAAAAAAAATAAATTTATTAGTCACATATATCGATTATTGATTTGAGAAAGAATGACATAAAGTGGAAAAACACAGAGGAAAAAATTGTGGAGAAAATTTTTTTTTTTTTTAGTGCCCAGACTTATCGATTTTATATATACTTGACAGACAGACTGTTTTTCAATGTACGACACACACACACACACACACACAAAGAAAAAAAAATCATCATGGTCCATCAACACACAGACAATCGATCCTATATGATTGCCATCATAGAAAAAAAAATTGATTGACGAGGATGCAACGAGATATATAAAATTGAATCGATAATGATTAGTTTTGCATCCCCATTCATTCATTATAATAGAGATGGATAAATATCAATTACCCATTATTATTATGATCGATCAATGATGATGATGATGATAATAATAATTGAAAATCGATAACTGATTCAGGAAACAAATGGCGATCAACAAGTCGTCATTTATTTGGGCAAAAAAAAAATAATAGTACGATGATCAAAAGTGTTCCACACTTGTCCATTGCGAAAAACATGTCGAAATATTCATAACACACAAAACAAAAACGAAAAAAAAAAAATACGTAACACTTGTGGCAAATATCAAAACAACAACTTGTTGCTTTTTGTTACCTTGTTGTTGTCTTTACAATCATCATCATCATCATCATCATAATTGAATGATTAACACTAACAACAACAACAACACGCAAGGAAATAAACTAAAGAAATGAAATAAAAAAAAAATGTATGTATAACATGCACAGGGGCAAAGTAGTTTTAGACATTTTTTTTCCATACATACTCCATATATATGAATGAAAAAACAGCATGATTTAAAGTTGTTGTTGTTGTTGTTGTATTTTAGTTTACAATCCCCCATTGAATCACATATGATGATGGAGAAAAATTTTTTTTTTTCTTTTCTTTGTAACACACAAAAAGCTTGTTGTTGTCATTGTTGTTGTTCAACAAACAAACAAACAGAGAAAAAATGGCAATATTTGACATCAGAACAGACAATAAACAAAACCAAAAAAAAAAAAAAATCGAATCAAAAGTTTCACATTTCACAAAATCAATTGACTCTATTCAATTTCTGGAACAATTCTCTCAACTCTAAATAGAGACAAAGAAATTGGCCATAATCCAAAACGTTTGATTTTCGTATATATACGAAAAAACAAGAAACTCTTGTTACCGAATAACAATCGCAACAATCACAAGATGATGATGACAAAAATTAATCACCATTCGTTATATATAACGTTTTTGTATTCATACGATGTAAGTATTTGTCGGTTGTTTGATATATATACACGATGATGAAATGTCAAAATTAGAATTTTATCGATTCGAATTTCGAAATTGAAATCAAAAAAATCGAAATAATTTTGTTTTTTTTGTATTTATTTCTAAACATTTAATGATTATTCATTATATTGATTTCTGTGTTTTTTTTTTTTTTTTTTTTTTTTTGCTGAATTTTCGAATCAATCAGTGAGGATTTGGTGAACAACACAAAACAAACATGGAACAAATTCTTGAAAATATGAATAAAATACATGATTTATCTTGTTGGCCATTGATACAAGAAATTTTAACTGAAGAACCAGATTTTTGGTCCACAAAATTAACCACCGAAAATGATCGAATATTTATCTGTGATCATGGAACAAGAGCCATATTAGTTTCATATAGAAATGAATGTACAAAACTTTATCTATGGAATGCAGGATTTCGTAATAAATCAATCGATGCAAAATCATCATCATCATCATCATCATCATCAATGGACAAATCACCAACACATCAACAACAATTACGACGTTGGTTTCTTCTAAATGATCTTTGTTTTCGTTGTCCAATCAAACAAATACGATTCATTAATGGATGGTTATTTATATTGACAGCTAATGATCGTCTTCATTGTCGTGATCTTGATGTATGTGAAAATATTTCCGATAACAATCAATCAATACATAATGATAAGAATTTTTATGAAAAAAATCGTTTGATTTATCCATTTGAACAATGTATAAAGTTAACACCATTGCTGCCATCATTATTATTACTTGGTGGTGATGCTAATAATCATTATAAACAACAACAACAAGAACAATGTAAATTTGCCACAATAAGACAAAAAACAACATATATTATGGATAATGTGGCAAAATTTGATCAAAGTGAAACATATACAGTAATATTAATGAAAAATATGGCAACAATCCATTTGATGACATGGTTGATACATCCAAATCATAATCGGCAATTATTCGAACATCATATTGAACATACATCTTTTCCACGTTTACGATTTCATGATGTGGCCGTTTTTGCACGTGGTTGGATTGCATTGACCAATCAACAGACATTATTGATTGAAGGTAGTTTCATGCCGGACATACAACCAGAAAAACAGCACATTTATCCACGAATGACGGTGATCGATCTTAAAGAATTACAATTTCCAATGAAATACGGCAATGGATATCCATCATCATCATCATCACCAATATATTTTAATCGTATATATGCAAGTAAACATCAATTATTATTACTCACAGATAATGGTATTATCTATTGTTTAATATTTACACAAAACATTCCATACATACTTGGTACATTTATGAATAGCAGCATACCAATCATACAGATTTATTCACATTATAATTCATCAAATTTTATCGCTATTGGTGTGGATGAAAAAATTCATGTTTATTGTCCAAAACCAATTCCAATCGATCCATCTGGTTATCATACTGTTGAAATGATGAATCATCAACAACAACAACAACATGCCTGGACCAAGAAATTGTCTTGTAGTGACAGCATTTCAATCAATACCTGATGCATATTCTATTTTTATTCAATCTGGTGATATGTCAACAATGGCTAGTAGTTATAATGTTGTTGAAATGTTTAATAATTCAAAATCGAATCAAAATTATTACCGTTTTAATGATCCAATTACATCCGATATTATGGTTTCATTGAATGAACAGAATTATTTTCTTCAATCAAAAATCGTAACACCATTAATGGAAATGTTGAAAAAATATTTTCATTTTCAAAATATTCGACGACAAGAAAATAATAAAATTGTTTTGAAAAAATCGATTTCATCATCATCATCATCAGCAGCAGCAGAAACAACAACAACAACAACAAAAACATTGATAATGGATCCTGATCAAATTTTGGATTGTCCAATGGAACAATCAAAACGTTTACAACGTTTTAATTATAAATTTTTTGATTTAATGGAAACCACCAACAACACCACCACCACCAGTGCCGCTAATAACGACGGTCAAATGATTAATACACAATTATCAACATTTAGTCCGGAATTGATACGATCATTTTTAAAATTATTCTATATTGGTCAATTTGAATTAAGCGATTCATTCATATATGAAGAATTACAATCATTTGTTCATACAATTTTGGAACGTGAACCAACAATTGCAACTAATAATTTTATGTTACGATGTTTTCATAGAGGTATTCGAATTTTTTTCAAAAATGTTATGATACAACAACAACAGCAACAACAACAACAACAACAAATAACAAAGAATTTGAATAATTCTTCAATCATTTTTTTTGGAAAAAAACTTGTGATTCGTTATCGATATCGAAAATCGGATAATTATATTAATTATTATAATAATAACAATAATAATAATCAAAACAATAACTTACTCAACACTCATGACATGATTCAATGAATGAATGAATGAATGACGATTATTATTATTGATTATATTACGATGAACTTTTGGTGATGGTGATATTTTTCAATGTTTCCAAGTGAACAAATAAATGTTTTTTATAATAAAAAATTTTCACATCATTCAATACGTACACAATAGTTTGATGAGATATATATTATATCATTGAAAAAAACACGTGCAACACACCATTGAGCTGACCAACAACAACATGAATGTGCTAAATGAATTCACAATGAAAAAATAATGATGATAAAATCCGGCTTATTGTGAGAAAATTAAATGTTTTTTTTGTTGGAAATTAATTGAAATTCGGAAAAAAAATGTTGAAAGAGTAAAAAAAAAGTTAGCGATAATGAGAGAGAAAAAGAGGAACGTGCAACAACAAATACGATTTTAAAAGAGACAAACTACGACGAAGATGAAGAAAAAAAGCCAAGATAATGATGATGATTAATGAATACTAAATCCTCTTGTGTGTGTGTGTGTGTGTGTTTGTTGAATATAATTTGACAACAACAACAACAACAAATAATCAATGTCGCCCATAATCATCATCATCATCATCAAGGAGCCATGCTCATGTATACAATCTCAAAAAAAAGCGAAGAGAAAAACAAAAAACTGATCACATTTTCATTTTCATTTCATTTCTTTTTTTTTTCATCACCATGTTGTTGTTTTTCTGTGTGTGTAGTGGTAGTAGTAGTCAGCCAGCTAGCCAGCCAGTCGTTGGATACAAAATCTGGTTTTTCATTCATTCATTCAATTCATGATGATCAAGGCTATCCACAGACGCCACTTACTTGTGTTTGGTGTGATGGGGGTTAAATGTTGATTGTCGATCCAGGATCACCACATAAAAAAATGAATGTAAAAAAAGGCGCTTGCGTTTACTGCTATATAGAGATGATGAAAAAAGCGAGAGGAAAAAGGAGGTATGGATAATTTGAATTGAAAATTTTATTCATTTTTCTTTTGCGTTTTTTTTTGAAAAATTCAATGTTCAATACGTTGTTGTTGTTGTTGTTGACGTTGAATATTGGCTTTATATTCATCGATTAATAATTGTAATGATTGTAAAAATTTCGATTGTATCTCAAATTGTAAAATTTGTTGTATTGTTATTTGTTTTATAATATGGCCATGTTGTTGATTGAATAATTCATTAACAATTGTTTGTTGTAAACGATCTAAATCACGTAAAATTATTAATCGATTTGATGATGATGATGATGATGAATTATTACTGCTATTGAATGATGATGATGATGAATGTAAAAATTTATCAATTTTCAAACCAATGGACAAAAATGTTTGAAAATATTCATTAGATGGATCATTCATCATCATCATCGTCATTATAGAATGTGAATAAATGGATTCTGGATTTGGTAGATGAATAAAAAATTGTTCACGATATGCAAGTAGTATGGCACCTAACCACGATGCTTTACATTCATTTTGTTGACAATTAGCAATAGCTACTAGCCAACGAAAACGTGTGGTAAAATTATGCCACGATAATTGTGATAATCGATTATGATAAATTTGTAATCTGTAACGACTTTGATCGGCTATTCGACGACATTGTCCAATCATTGTATTTAAATGTTGTACATTTATCGTTTGATTATCATCATGATGATGAGTATTATTATTATTTCGTAATGATGAATAATCGGACATTAATTGTTGAAAAATGATTGGAATATTTGGACCACAATTAATTATTTCAGAATCATCGGGAAATATTGGAACAATTTCTTCAAATGGTATCGGTATTTCATCATCATGATCATCATCATCATGTGCCATGGTGTTTTTAGCAATCATGATGATGGTCATGGAAATTATGAAACGGAACACTCTCATCATCGTTTGTTTTCATTGGGAAAAAAAAAAAACTTAAAACAAGGCAGCAATTTTTCCAAAAAAAAAAAAAAATTTACCATAAACATTTTGTCGTTTTTATTTTTCTTTTCTTTTTTTAGTTCGATCATCATCAATTTATCAATCAATTTTCATAAATAAACAAACAAAACTGAAAACGAAATTGAAAAAAAATCGATTGATTAGAGTGGTGGTGGTGCCATCTTTGCCTTGATAATTGATTAGTTTCTCATCAATCAATTGTATGTCATCATATTGTTATCTTATTGATTAAAATTGAAATTGAAAATGAAATGTTTACATTTTGGAAATGAAAAAAAAAAAATAATATCATTATCTTCGTTTACAATTTTCGTAGGGCGGAGGCTAACAATATATTCGATTGTCAAATGAATGACAATGAACTTGATAAGTAATATTTCCATTCACAAACAATGTAAATATTTGATCATCATCATTTTAAAAAATTCGAATCAACAATAGAACAAACAAACAAATGATAATGATTGTGGCCTAAATATAATGTGATGATAATAATAATGGCCATATAGGTCAATTTTTCTTTTTTGTTGATTTTCTGGTTACATCATCTGCGTAGAATGATTTTAATTTTTTCATTTTTTTTTGTGAATTTCAATTCAAATATTTCAATGTTTTTTGCCCAGAAAAAAACGAAAAATCTCTCTCTCTCTCGCTTCTTTCTCCATTGCAATATTGTCATTGTGTGAATTCAGCCTTCGGTGACGACCACGACGACGACGACGACAACGATGACAATGACGACAACATCGAACATCGTCGTTGACGAAAATGAACGAAAAAAAAAAATTTTATTTGAAAAAATGGAATTTACGTACAACACCGTGATTGACACACATGATGATTTTTTTTTATATATACCGAATATAACAAATATATTTATCATCAAGGAAATTCATTACAAAGAACCAGAACAACGAAAAAAAAAATTAATCCAAAATCTTCATTTTCAATCAAGTTGATAATTCCGTAATTTCCATCATCATCAAAACCGATGGTCAACGAAAACAACAAAACAAACTGGAACTTACAAGAGAAAAAAAATGTAATTAAAAAAAATTGATTTTTTTAAGCAGCATTTTAATTGGAAAAAATGAACGATTGAATGAACAGGTACCAACAATGCACATTTTTTTTCCAGAGAAAAAAAAAGAAAATTCAAAAGAGAAAACAATGAAAAATACACACGGAGAGAGAGAGAGAGATGAGATAAAATGGAAAAGAATTGGTTTAGAAAATAAAAAATTTCTACTTGTGAGACAAAAAAAAAAATAATGATTTGAAATCTGCGGTTTATTGACAAAAGAGACAGGTGACATTGAATTGATTTAGTTTTTTTTTTGCTGTAGTTATCATATTTCTGGAAATAAAAATGATAATATAATACTACCTGAATAGACAGTAGAATTTTTTGTTTTCATTCAGAGTTTTTTTTTCAAATTTCGAATCCAAAATTTAAAAAAAAAAAACACTTACCGATTTTATTTTTTCTAATGTGAAACCGACAAACACAATTTCTACGAAAATCGTGTAAGTTTTAAGTTATATTGTCTTTTGCAATAACAACAACAACAAAAAAAAAATGCTGCTGATGATGATGATCTTTGTTTTTTTTTTTTTATGACAATTGTGTCACTTTTTCTTTTGATGAGATTCTACCTGAAATTGATATAAATAATTAATTTATAACAATAAAAAAGTGTATATAAGTGCATGTTGCCAGGTTGTATAAAAAAAAGTTCAGTGGCTATGTATAATAATCGTATAATTTGCCAATTGATTTTCTCTCTTTCTCTCTCTCTCTCTCTCTCTCTCTCTCTCTCTCTCTCTCTTCTTTGATTTCCGGTTTGATTAATTGGAAATTTTTTTTTTTTCATCATTTGGATTCATAATCCAACCAATCAATTTATGATGTATTTTAGAAATTAATTTATCGCAATTCATTTGTTGTTGTTGTTGTTGTTGTTGTTGTCTGAAATCATAGAATTATACAACGAGAAAAAAAAATAATTTTTTTTTTTACGAAAAACAAAACATTTTCATATGAAATTCCACGTGTACAGATACAGATAATAATTGTGTGTCGGTGTCGGTGTCGGTGTCATCACAGAAAGATAGATTAGATAGAAAGTACGTTTGATGAACAATGACAAAGCCAAAAACGAAAAAAAACATTACTAATTTAAACGCACAAGTGAAACAAAAGAAAAAAAACAAATTTCAAATCATAATCAAAAAAAAAAATTATCACCATCATCATCAAATGGCGCTTTTGATTATTTGGTAGTTAGTTCAACTACCACACACACACACACACACACACACAAACACCTGATCAAATGTATGTGTGTGTGTGTGTACAATTATATTATTACTATAATTCGTTTCATCATCATCATCATCATCATCATCAATAATCATCATCATCATCATCCAAAAAGCCAAGTCCAAGGAACGGCAGTAATTCGTTTAAGTTAACCACAGTGTGCATGCGATTTTTTTTTGTTCTGTTAAAAAGGGACAAATTATAATTTTACCACCATAATCACACATACAGAACCACCAACACACACACACACACACACATTGATTGTCGATCATCATCATCAAACACCTTTTTGTTTTCTTGAAAAAAAAATTAAAAATAATGGTAGCTATTACAACAATCGATGAAATTTTTACTATTATCACGTTAATAATTATAACGATAACAACGACGGCTACGAATCATAATTTCCGAAAAATTGTTAACGATTAATTGATTGATTCCGACTAATAATTCTATATCACGAGAAAATCAAAATCAAAAAAAATTGTCTTTGTATGTCTGGTGTGTGTGTGTGTGTTTGTGTGACAAGATGTGACTATTTTATTATTGAAATTTTTGTTTTTGTTCATTCCGAATTTGAAAAATCAAATTCTCTTTTTTTTTGTTTGAAAAAGTGAAAAATTTTTAATTTTTAAATTAAATTAAATTGCCAGTAAAATCATTTGGTTTATTTTTTTTTATTTTACACAAAACAAAACAAACTGGTAAGTTGGAATTTTGTATTTTTTTTTCTTAAAAATTTCAATAACCAAGTACATTATCAATGTCAATGTATCGCATGACATTTGTTGTTGTTGTTGTTGTTGTTTATCAATTTGTTACACTTGTATCTGATCTTGACCGATCTACTACATTTTTTTTCAAGTGATTTGTATGGTTCACTCTTCTTCTTTTTTTTATTGATTGATTGATCGATTTTATTTTTTCAAGTGGCCAGGAATTTTTTTTTGTCATACCAAGGTGGTTGATATTTAAAAAAAAATGAAGAAAACGCTACCACTTTTTTTTGATCACGTCATCGCACCACCATAATCAATTGATCCATCAATAGATTGTTTGAGTAGATTTGATTATCATATATCTCAATGGTGAAGATATGGGAATAATTTACAGATTGATTGGAACATTGAAATTTTGTAATTACAGCAGCAGCTGTTGGTTGAACATTGTCGTCATTCTTCAACATAAATGACAATTATTATTATTGTGTAGTAGTTTTATTGTTTTGTTTGTGACCAATTTTTTTTTTGTTGATGATTTTTAAACAAAAATTTCTTTTTTCCCTCCATCTTTCTTTCTCTCTCTAGGCCACTTTAAAAGTTTTGGTAGTAGTAGGTGTGTCCAAATATCATCATCATCATCATCATCTATATCGATATCATCGTCGTAGTCATCGACCATCAAAAGTATCATAGATCAGCAGCGACAACAACAACGACTACCACCGTTTAGAAGACTTAAAAAATCGAAAAAAATGCAATTAAAAGAAGTGAATGAATTTTGTGGCAATGGTATTGGAAATATATCGGAAACAACGGAACAATCAACAAATGAATCGATTGCAGGTGTCAACGGCGTGATCAATAAAGCCTATTTGAATGAAGCAGAAGAAGAAGAAGAAGAAAAGGGAAATGAAAAAATCAAAAATTTCCATCATAATAACTAATGGTGATGATCAAAATAATAATCCAATTATGGATGATATGGATCCGAAAAAAATGAATAATAATACTAAATCATTGGCTATGATTAATGGTGATATTGAAAAACAATCATCAGTATCATCGACAAATGTTTCAACGATTGATGATGATGATGATGATGATGAGAAGAAAACATTGTATCAAATACAAACATCATGGGCCGTATTACGACAAATGTTGTTACCATTTTTAATCGCTGGAATTGGTTCTGTATTTGCTGGTGTCGTATTGAATGCCGTAACACAATGGCCAGTTTTTGTCGATATTCCACAAATTTCCATAATGGTTACAGCATTTTTAGGCCTTATCGGAAACATTGAAACAACATTGGCATCACGTCTGTCCACACAAGCAAATCTTGGACGAATGGATTCATGGCATGGTATTCGTGATATTGTTTTCGGTAATTTTATGGTCATTCAATGTCAGGCATCCACAGTGGGATTATTCGCAGCAATTTGTTCATTAGCTATATCGGCTATACGTGAAGAGACAAGACAAAAAATTTCTACAGATTCAATCATTTTATTATGTTCAACATCAGTGGTTACATCGATCATTGCAAATACATTGATTGCTACAATAATCATTATCGTTATACTTGTAGCACGTCGACTTCGAATTAATCCAGGTAATTTATTTCTTTTTTTTTTTTTTGTTTGCTGATCATTTTCATTTTATTTTGGTGATTTTTTTTTCTCTGGTTTACAGATAACATATCGACACCTGTTGCAGCATCAATGGGTGATGTTTGTACCATAAGTATTCTAGCACATGTTGGTCAATACCTTTATGAATTACAATATGGTCGTCAGATTCAGATCACATTGATGGTGTTGTGTTTATGTGCAGCACCTGTATTTGGTGTGTTTGCCAGACGCAATCGTTGGACAAAATCGGTAATTTATTCTGGATGGACTGCCATTCTTGGTGCCGTTATAATTGAACAACCGGGTGGTGTTGTAATGGAAAAAGCATTTCAAAATTATAAAGTCATGTCAACGTTTCAACCATTGGTCAATGGTAAATGGTTGAATGGATTTTTTTTTGTTTACATTTCTTAATCTGATTTTTGAATTCAATAGGTATCGGTAGTAATCTTGTCGGCATACAAACAAGTCGTATGTCAACATTTTTACATGCATCTGCACCGAAAGGATTGCTGCCTACATCGAATCCAACTCCTTTTGTTAGTCCATGGTTTGTTTTTTGTTCCAAAGGTAAATTTTCATCGAAACAAGAAAAAAAAATTTCCTAAAATCTTATCATTCATTGTATTATTTATCAGATCTACATGCACGAATGGCCCGTCTTTTAATGATGGTCATTGTTCCGGCCCACCTATTCTATATGGCCATCATATTTACATTACAAAGTACATTTGATTTTAATTTCGTCGTAACCGGACCATTTATGTCAGTTTATATAATCGCTGTTGTCTTACAATTGGCTTTATTACTATATTTGGCATATATATCGGTATTTTGGGCATGGAAACATCGTATCAATCCTGATAATTCAGCCATACCATTCACATCGGCATTGGCCGATGTTTTCGGTAATTGTTTAATGGCTGTTGCATTCACTTTCTTGAAATGGATTAATGATGAAAATACAACAATAATGGAAAATAATGATAATAATGATGCCAGTTTGATGACAACCATTTTTACGAATTATAATAATAATAATAATAATTTAACAACATCAACAATAGCTACGACGACTGAACAATTGCTCAACAATTCTACAATCATTTATTATTGAATTTTAACGATGAATTTAATAATTTTTTAAAATTTTTGATTTATTCATCAATGTTAATGATGATGATGATGATGATGATGATGATGTAGTCACTTCATGGCATCATTATCGACTATACCAATGCATTTTATTGAATGAGGATTTGGCATTTTTTAAAATAATTTTCTACATTCTTGTGATTTTAATATTAATAATAATAATAATAATTTTAATTTTAATTAAATTGAAAATAATTCTCAACACTGAAACATTGATTATCATTTTGATTGAAGAATCGGTGGTTGTTGTTCATTCAATAAATGTCCAATAATATGCATACGATCAGAACCGAAAACCCATCGCGGTTTTTCGTCCAAATGAATCAATGTTATTGGTAGACCAAATCCACCCAATTCTTTTACTCTTTCAAGATTTTTCTCAAGTTTTCCTTTATTCTCTTCGCTATTCATAGTGTTCAAAGCTTTATCGATAGCATCCGATGATACATTCATTTCTGTGGCAATTTTACGCATAACATCTGAATTCCAAATTTCAGATGGATTTGAACGGAAAAAATTCTGGAAAAATACACCAACTAAACGGTTGTAAGTTGCTTCATCAATATGATCTTTAATGGCCGATATGAATAGCTGTGCTGGATCAACTTTGAATTCAATAGCAATCTGCATGAATTCCTTAGGCAATTCGAATGGAATCTATCGATATGATGACAATGAAAATGATTAGAAACTTGAAACAAAATATAAATCATTTATACCTTATGAAAATCGCTTAAAAGTTTTAAATCACGATTCAGATAGATTGCTTTTGATGGATTCATACCCGGTGGCATATTATCAGCAGCGGCAAACACATCACGTATCATGACAGGTGTCATTTTCAATTGCATGGATTTCCAATGACCTAATTGTCGCATGAGTAATTCATGCTGGAATCTTGAAAATGGTGAAATAATATCGAAAAATAATTCAACGATAGTCATTTTGCACAAATTTCCAAGGGAATAAATTGAAAATATAATAAATGGCAGTTTAAATAGCGAATGTAGTTTTTATCCAACCGATAAAATCAATTCAATTTTCAATTTATATTCCAAGTTCAACTGTACTTGCTGTTGATACATTATCAAAGTGATTTTTGTTTAAATAGTTTCTTTTTTTGTTGATTTAGCCATTCAAGTGGTTTTTTCTTTTTGTTTTGGATCAATGTTGTTTTTTGCGCTTCATTGTCAAATCAGGAATCATGTTGAAAATGATACATTTATCAAAAATGATGACAATTTCTCGTCGAATGTTTTCGACATCATTATCTCGGCCGACCATGGTTGAAATGTTCTATGATCTGGCATCACCGTATACTTGTTTACAGGTTCATTTACTTGATCGTCAATTGGGTCATTGGAAATCAATGGATTTGAAAATGACACCGGTATCGATAGCACATATAATGAAAGCTTCATCAAATTCACCACCAATTAAGGTCCAGGCTAAAGGTCGATATATGTTTAGAGATCTTAAAGACCTGTCCGAATATTATCGGGTAAGAGACTATGAAAAAAAGTAATAAATCAATCAATAAATTAAATTTGTCCATAACATTAGATTCCATTTGCATTACCGGATATATTCGTCGATACAGTTTTCGAAAAAGGCACTGTTAAAACACAACGATTTATGATGGCCGTCCATGAAAATGCACCAGAATTACATGATAAATTAATTCGTATTGCATATGCCAATTTTTTTACGACTGAAAATGCTGTTGATATAGCCAACATTGAAGAGATGAAAAAATTGGCTTCAAAAGCAGGATGTTCGACTGATTTGATTGCAAAAATCGAACAAGATATGAATGATGACAAGGTGAAAACGGCATTGAAACAAAATACAGATCGCGTCGTTGAATTGGGATGTTTTGGTCTTCCAATGACACTGGTTCATCGTTCGGATGAACCACTGGAAATGAGTTGGGTTTTTGGTTCGGATCGAATACATATTATTGGTCATTATTTGGGTGAAAAAGAACCACCAATTCTTAGATAGATTTTAATTAGAAAATAATTTAAAAAAAAAATGGTATAAAATTCGATAAATTTAGCTCCAAACGAACAATGTGTACGTCATTTATGATGAGTTAATGCAAGAAAAAAAAATACGAAAACAGTGTTTTCGATTTACGTGCTTGTTTTTTTTCTCGACCGATGATAAAAACATCTACATACAATTTATATATTGGATTTGTTGTTGTTTGCATTCATTTTGAGTTTATTTTTCTTTGCATCTGCTTGTTTAAATAAATTTTTTAATCATTAATCACAAAAAAATTGATATATACTGTTTTTACAATTGAAGAATTTTCATACGATCATAATGATGATTTAAAAAATCATCATAATTATTCGAAATAGAATAAGGTGATAAAATGTTAGGCGATCAAAACCAGATGATATCATCGAATCAATCATCATCATCATCATCATCGTCATCTTTTATTCTTTCCACAATGTTGACCAAACACGGTGAAAAAGAGTTGCTCATTTTAAAGAATAAAGAACATGAATCATGGATTCATTGTTTTTTGCAAGAAATTCAACATTCAAATTCCTCATCATCATCATCATCATATTCATCATCACATTTATCTCAATCATCACGTGATCGTACTTCATCCGGTTCATCGGATTCATCAATTCGAGATGATCTTAAGAAAAAAAAACGAGCCATTGTTAAATTGCAACAACATTTGCAACAAGAAATGCCTGAAATGTCCGATGAACAACGGAAACAATTTTATGATTTTGCCCTTACTCGTATATTCGATTTGATGGTCGGTGAATCAGCAACGAATTTGATTGATGTTAAATCCGGTATAATGTTGATGTGTATATTGTTGGATGCTCCTATATCGGAAAAAAAACGACCACCAATTTGTGCACCATTCGCTAATCACCTACGCAATGTAAATCTAAATTCATCTGATTTAGAACTATTGGATCTGATTGCCTGTGCTGTTGGTAAAATTGCATTGAATTCCGGATCATCGACACCAAATTTTGTTGAATTTGAAATTCGTCGTGCCATCGAATTGATTGGGAATGAAAAAAATGATCTCCAAAAACGCCATTCGGCTATTTTAAATCTACGTGAATTAGCCAATATTACACCATCATATTTTTTCAATCATGTGATGCATATTTTTGAAAATATTTTCATTGCCATTTATGAGCCGAAACTAAGAGAACCCGCAATTGCAGCTTTAAGATCGGCGTTGTCCGTTGTTGTTCAACGTGAACGTCTAGCATCGAATATTTCATCATCATCATCATCAAAATCCTCTTCGGCTGCTCGTTCTCGTATTGATCAACAGATACCCATGTGTTATGAATTATGTTACAAAGAAGTGATTAAAAGTTTTGAAGATCGAGATCGATCATCAAAAGATCGTGATGATCGAATTCATGCCGCTTTATTGATATTAAACGAATTATTCCGATGTTCACATGATTCATCAGTCATATTTCGTGATTCGATTAGCCGACAATTGGATTTTCTTTACATCAATCTTCGTGAATTAAATGATTTTAATTCGTTCTATTTTTCCAACTATTTATTCGGCCATTTTGATTATCCAATTTCATTCGATACAATTGGCCAAAATGTATCGAATTCGTCGAAAAAATCACATGGACAAAGTGGTGGTGATCATTTATCTGATTGGCATTATGGATATCTAACGAAATTATTTCGAAACAATACTAATCTAGATTCATCAACAATGCCATTAATGTATGGTCTTCGTACATTACAATCGATGGTTAATTATCATAAAGAAATGGGTCTAGCACCGATTCTATCATTTTTTCATAAACGTAAATTCTCAAAACTAAGCACACTTTGTCATCAATTGATTCAGAATCATTTTGCCGCCATTTGTTCACATTTAATTTCGTTGTTGAAATTGAAAAATTCATTACAAATCAATCAGGTTTTATTATTGGTTCTACCATCATTAACATCATTGAATCCTAAAGATTTTTCACAAACTGGTCATTATGTCAATGATTCTATACAATATCTATTGATTTGTATTAAAAATTCAGCCTTACGATCATTGGCATTCATATCGCTTGGTTTGTTTGCATTATCAATCAAAGATGTTTCAGAAAATGCTATCGATCAACATTTACCGTTAATGATTAGCCAGATTCGTCAATGTTTTCCTGGTAAAGATCATACACATCATCATCAGTCAACACCATTATCATCATCTACATCGAAAAAACATCGACAACAATCATCGATGACAAATCACCATCATCCGGATCCTGCCATATTTACTTGTCTATCTTTTATTGCACAAGCTGTTGGTAGAAAAATTTGCTCAGAAATAGCTGAAATGTTACCATCAATGCTTTCGATGGGCCTCAGTGAACCATTAGTGAATTCATTATATGATATTTGTAAATACATACCTGAACTTAAACGAGATATACATGAAGGCCTGTTGAAGATTCTTAGCTTAATCATAATGGATCGTCCAATGATTCGTCCTAAATTGTTGGCAGCTGATGGTGGCAGTTCATCATTCATGTCATTATCCGCTCATAGTCTTAGCGGTGGTTCAATTGATCGTTCAATGGATTCATCGATTACAATGTCTACGACCGATTTGGAAACATTGAAATTAGCATTGAAAGTTTTGGGAAGATTTGATTTCAAACCACAATATTTTTTCATGTTTCTACCACATTGTGCCAATCAATATTTAATGCATGAAAATCGAGAAATACGATTAGAAGCCGTACATACGTGTTGTCAACTATTGAAACCATTTCTAAAGCCAAACAATGGTTTTGAAAAGATGACAAAAGATGTTTTACAAAAACTGCTTATAGTTGGCATAACCGATCAAGATAAATTTGTTCGCTATTCTGTTCTATCACGTTTGGATGAATATTTTGATTATTACCTGGCACAGGCAATTAATCTTGAATCACTTCAACTAACTGTTTATGATGAATGTTTTGAAATTCGTGAACTTGGTGTTTGTATTAATGGACGTTTATCGAGCTTAAATCCAGCATATGTGATGCCATTTTTATTGCGAGTATTGTTACAATTTCTTAGTGAATTTGAACATTCTGGTATTGCAAAAAATCTAGAACAATCGGCAAGAATGTTAGGACATTTATTAGCTTCTGCACCAAGATTTTCTCGTCCATATACTGAACCAATATTAAAAGTTTTTCTGCCTAAACTTCGTGATCCACAACAATCACAAGCTGTGGTTACAGCTGTAATGAGTGCTGTTGGTGAATTGGCCATTGTTTCCGGATTAGAAATGCGTGCCTATTTTTATGAATTATTTCCAATAATATTGGATGCCGTACAGGATACAAATTCATTTCAAAAACGTGAAATTGCACTCTGGACAATGGGTAGATTGATTGAAAATTGTGGCTATGTGATTGAACCATATACAAAATTTCCCACATTAATGGAGGTATTGTTTTCCATAATGAAATCTGAACCAACTAAATCATCACAGCTTATACGGCGAGAAACTATACGAGTTCTTGGATTGTTGGGTGCTGTTGATCCATATTGGCATAAAATTAACATGGGTTTCATCGATCTATCCGGTGAATCACTGATTAGTTATGATCCTGCATTGGAACAAGAAGCTAATTCATATGAAATGATTTGGGGTACATTTTCAAGTGATGATTTTTATAGTTCACAAGCAATCAATACATTGGTAGCCGTTATGAAAGATCCACAAGCAAGTAGCCAACATACAATGGCCGTTCAGGCTATGGCTTTCATTTTTAATGTTCTCAAAGTTCGTTCAGTACCATATCTGCCAAGCATTCTACCACCATTCATCAATATTATTCGAACTGGTGATCCAAAAATCCGTGAATTTCTTCTACAACAATTAGGACGAATTATATCGGCCGTGAAAAAACATATCCGATCCTATTTGGATGATATATTCAAAGTACTACGTGAATTATGGACAACAAATAATTCAACAATGCAATTAACATTGTTCAATGTTGTCGATCAGATTGTATTAGCACTTGGTTCAGAATTTCGTAATTATGTTCCACATTTGATACCACATATATTGAAAGTATTCAATCATGATGCTAGTCCACAAAAAGAAGTGACAATGAAACTATTATCTGCATTACAAAATTTTGGCATCACACTTGAAGATTATTTTCATCTATTAATAACACCCATTCTACGATTGTTCGATGTACCGATTGAACAAAAACGTGCTTCTGATCTACGAATATCGGCTATAAAAACTATTGAAATATTTTGTCGTGATCTTTCTCTGAAAGAATTTGCTCCACGTATCATACATGCATTGGTGAAAACGATCGATGATAATCCTCATGATAAACGATTATTTCAACAAGCAATGGATACATTATGTAGAATTGTATTTCAATTGGATACTAAATTTAAAATATACATATCATTAGTATCAAAAGTGTTGCAGAAACATAAATTATTACATGATAAATATGAATTATTAGCGGATAAAATCCAGAATGATATTTCTATTGGTGAAATAGATCCAGATGCTTTGTTGTTACCACCAAGTCTTGTAAGAAAAGCCGGTGTAAATCGTCGTAATTATGAAAGTGAATCACAACAACAGCAACAACAACCAGGTCAATCGGATGCAAAAAGAGCTACATTGTCATTGGAAGAGATAAAACATGCATGGCATCAATGTTCACGTCGTATTTCGAAAGAAGATTGGCTTGATTGGCTACGAAAATTCAATGTTGATCTAATTAAAGAATCACCATCACTTTCACTACGATCTTGTTTTCCAATAGCACAATCTTGTAATAATGTTGCACGTGAATTATTTAATCCAGCATTCTGGTCATGTTGGAATGAACTAAGCCAATCACAACAGCAAGAATTGGTAACATTATTGGAAGAAACAATGAAAGAACAAGAAGTACCTGAAGTTACAGGAATTTTATTGAATTTGGCCGAATTTCTTGAACACATTGATCAAGGACCATTAATGTTTGATGTAAAAGTTCTTTCTGAACGTGCAATGAAATGTCGTGCATATGCAAAAGCATTACATTATAAAGAGAAAGAATTTCAAGAACGTCCAACAACAGAAAATCTAGGTGCATTGATTACTATAAATAATAAACTACAACAACCACAAGCTGCATATGGTTGTTTAGCTTATGCACTGAAATCTACCGAAATTAAGGATATTGAAATCAAAGAAAAATGGTTTGAAAAATTACATAATTATGAAAGTGCATTCCTTGCATATAAAATGCGTTATGAACAAAATTGTAATGATCATGATGCTTTACTTGGCCAGATGAGATGTTTAGAAGTATTGAGCGAATGGGAACGACTGTATTCATTAGCACAGCAAACATTTAACGATGTTAGTGAATATTATCAACAACGTATGGCACGTATGGCCGTTACAGCTACTTGGAGTTTAAATCAATGGGATGAAATGATCGAATATGCTCGTTATATTCCTACCGAATCGTTTGAATCGGCTTTCTATGAAGCGGTTATTCGTGTTCATCAAGCTGATTTTCAACAAGCTCAATATTTTATTGATAAATCACGTGAACTTATCGATACGGATCTAACATCGATGGCCGGTGAATCATATCAACGTGCATATCCTGCTATGGTACAGATTCAAATGATGAGCGAACTGGAAGAAGTGATTCAATATAAATTAGTACCAGAACGTCAAGAAATGATTCGACAAAAATGGTGGCAAAGATTACAAGGTTGTCAACGACAAATTGAAGATTGGCAAAAAATTCTTCAGATTCATTCATTGGTTCTTAAACCACAAGAAGATATGCGTGCATGGCTAAAATTTTCAAAACTTTGTGAGAAAAATCATCGTCTTGATTTATCATTCAAAACCATTGTTAAATTGATGGGAACGAATCCGACAAAATTAGTACAACAAAATCATCCTTTACCAATTACCTATCCAGAAGTTACATTGAAATTTATCGATCATTTATGGAATAGTGGCCGTTATAAACGAGCATACATTGAATTGCAACGTTTTTGTCAACGTTTAGAAGAAGAGAATAGTGGTACCAATGTAGCAACACAATTAAGTAATCAACAGAATAATCAACGATTCAATATTAATCTACCAGATGAATCAATGACCAACACAACCACAACCACAACGACGGCTGAAATTATAACAACAAATAGTGATTATATGTATGCACATATTGCACCAGATGCACATATGTCACCTGAAGCTATTAATAAAGTTCTTTCACGTGCATACCTTAAACGTGGTCAATGGGAAGAATTTCTATTTGATTTTGATCATGTATCAATTCCATCGATTCTTGAATCATATAAAAAAGCAACACAACGTGATTTACAATGGTATAAAGCATGGCATACATGGGCTTTTATGAATTTTCGTGCACTAAAATTCTGTAAAGAATTATTACCCGAAGTAAGGAAAAATATTGATCATCCATTAGATGCATTGGGTAAATATGGACCACGAATGAAACCTAAAGAATTTGCCATCAATGCTGTTCGTGGATTTTTCCAATCGGTTGCATTCTGTCGAAATGGTTCATCCTTACAAGATACACTTCGAATTCTTACCATTTGGTTCGAAGATGGATATGATGAAAATATACGTGCTGCTGTCGAGGAAGGTATTAAAAGTGTATCAATTGAAACATGGCTACAAGTGATCCCACAATTGATAGCACGTATAGATATGCCACATGTTCCAGTTGCCAAATTGATTCATACGCTTTTGACCGATATTGGCAAATATCATCCACAAGCATTGATATATCCATTAACGGTTGCATCAAAATCTTCGAATGAAGCTCGTAGTGAAGCGGCTAATGCAATATTAGTTCTGATGCGTGTCCATTCACCAAATCTAGTTAAACAAGCTGTTCTAGTCTCAGAGGAATTGATACGTATCGCAATATTATGGCATGAACTTTGGCATGAAGGCCTAGAAGAAGCATCTCGACTTTATTTTGGTGATAAAAATGTTGATGCAATGTTTGAAACGTTGGAACCATTACATAAAATGATTGAACGAATACCAAGTACTCGTAAAGAGTTGACTTTCTATCAGAACTATGGTCAAGATCTGGCTAAAGCTTATCAATTATGCCAGTAAGTATTGTTATCTTGAGTTTTGATTTTTTATTTTATTTAATTTGATTTTTTTTTCTTCTGAAAATTTAGGAAATATAAAATAACTCATGATTCACAGAATCTAACGCAAGCATGGGATATCTATTATCATGTTTTTAAACGAATTTCTCGTCAACTTCCACAATTGACATCGTTAGAGCTGGAATACGTATCACCAAAACTAACTGAATGTACCAATTTAGAATTAGCCGTTCCTGGATCATATTGTCCACATAAAGAATTGATTCGAATAGCCAAAGTTGAACCACAATTGAACATAATTATTTCTAAACAGCGGCCCAGAAAACTAACAATAAAAGGTTCAAATGGACATAATTATATGTTCTTATTGAAAGGTCATGAAGATTTACGACAAGATGAACGTGTTATGCAATTGTTTGGATTAGTCAATACTTTGCTTAATTCGGAAGATGCAACCTCTAGACAGAATTTAGGTAGGTTTTGTTTTGGATTCTGTTGATTTTTTTTTAATTTTTTTTTGTTTCAGCCATTCAACGATATGCTGTGATTCCATTAAGTCCCAATTCCGGTCTAATCGGTTGGGTACCATGTTGTGATACGCTTCATTCCTTAATACGTGATTATAGAAATAAACGTAAAATTTTGCTCAATATGGAACATAGATTGATGTTACGTATGGCTCCTGAATATGATCGATTAGCATTGTTACAAAAAGTGGAAGTTTTCGAACATGCATTGGAACATACACCTGGTGATGATTTGGCCAAAATTTTATGGGTTCGTAGTCCATCATCCGAAGTTTGGTTTGATCGACGAACAAATTACACCAGAAGTTTAGCTGTTATGTCAATGGTTGGTTATATACTGGGATTAGGTGATCGTCATCCCAGTAATCTAATGCTTGATCGTAATTCTGGTAAAATTTTACACATTGATTTTGGTGATTGTTTTGAAGTAGCGATGACAAGAGAAAAATATCCGGAAAGAATTCCATTCAGGTAATTTTATATTTGTCATTCATGTCCTCATTATAAATTGATAAATATTTCTTTTTTTCAGATTAACAAGAATGTTAATCAAAGCAATGGAAGTGACCGGTTTAGATGGAACATTTCGAACCACTTGTCAACAAGTAATGATGTGTTTACGTAAAAATAAAGAATCATTGATGGCTTTACTCGAGGCATTTGTTTATGATCCATTACTAAACTGGAGATTGATGGAAGGTTTGTAATATTTTTTTTTAATTTGCATCTTATTTTCAATTTTAATTTTTCAAAAAGCTCAACCGAAATCAAAAACTGATCTGAATGGTAAAAAACCTGTAGTTAATTTAGCAACAAAAGATGCTAATACTAATCGTCATCGCCATCATCATCACCATACGGATGTTGTTAATCCAATGAAAGTTGTAATGGATGTAGTCGATGAAGAAGATTCTGCACATGATAAACCAGGACCATCTGCAGCAGTATTACATCAAGGCGATGATAACCAAGAAGGTGATGACGAAATCATACATCATCATCCACGTGGTCATCCACAACGATTATCATCAATTAAACGTATTGTATCGATACAAAATGCTGAACAACATCGACTTGATTATTATCATGATGAAGGACTAAATTCTAAAGCTGTTGCCGTTATTGAACGCGTTAATGATAAACTTACTGGACATGATTTTGGTAACTATAACCGTGTATGTAGCGTTAATTCTCAAGTCGAACAATTGATCAAACAAGCTACAAGTCATGAAAATCTTTGCCAATGTTATATTGGTTGGTGTCCATTCTGGTAAAAAAAAAAAAAAAAAAAACTTGTCAATCATCATCATTTTTTTTCTTATTTTTGAAACACATATTATTATATATTGAATAAATGAAATGTTTTTCTTAAAATTTTTTGGAGTCACACACACACACACACTGTGAATTTTTATTTGAAATCAATTATAAATGAGTGTTATTATATAAGATGTTTTTTTTCTCATTAAAAATAATAATAGCGTTTAAGAATAATATAAAATCAAACAATTGATTGGATGCGCATCTTGTTGTTGATCGCTGCCGAATAAAATGTCGATTTTTTTTTCTTATGATGATGGTGAAAAAAAAATTTGTCTATGTGTAATAATAATAATTATTATAATAATAATATAATCCACCGATATAATCGGATGTTGTCATATTCTTTTCTTTATGATAGTAAAGTGTGTGTGTGTGTGTGTGTGTGTGTAAGTGAATGTAAATTTTTTTTTTCAATTCAAGATGGGATTCGCTATTCATCATTTCATTGAATTTAGCAGGTGGATTATTTTCATTTTTTTTTTTTTTTTTGGTTCTATGGATGAGTTGCTTGGTATTTTCCATAAATTTTTGTTGTTGTTGTTGTTGTTGAAATTTTTTACTTGCCGTCCAATCGGTTGGCTGATGGATAGTAAGTTTTTTTTTGTTGTTGTTTTTAAAATTAAGCTAAACGATTCATTAATATATTAGATAATTATGATAGATTATTGTTGTTGGATGTGTTATTTTTTCGATTATGGATTTTTTTTTGTTGTTTTTGTTGATGTAGATGTGTGTTTCGCTTTTTATATGTTAAAATAGGTGATGGTTGGTGGTGGTGGCGACTATTGATGTTATTATTTTTGCTGTTTGTTGTTGTATTATTGTCATTTATTATATTGAATAAATGATGGTGATGTGGACGTTTACACACCATTTTGAATCGTTTAATTGGATGTTTCACCGGCAGCACCATCGCTACCGTTACCGGAATTATTGGCACCAACATTATCGCCATTATCTTGATTATCATCATTGCCCAATTGTTGTTGGTCTCCCCAGCCTCCGTTGTTTCGTTGGCCAAATTTTCCACGACCACGTCCACGCCCACCGCGGCTTCTGAATCCTCCACGACGACGATTAAAACCATCACCAAAACGTCGATTACCATTATGTCGGAATCCAGATTGTTGTTGGCCATCTTGTTGTTGTTGTTGGTCACCATCCGATTGACCTTCTTGATTTTGTTGGCCATCATTTTTGTTCTGCGTGTCAAACAAAAAAATTATTAAATTGTTTTTTAAAATTAATAATAAAAACTAACTTCTTCACCGGCACTTTCGCCGCCTTGATCCATCCTTGGACGACGTGGTCTACGACGGAAAAAACGTTGAATGTATCGGCGTGGTCGACCGCCACCACCAGGTCCACGTCGTGATTCAAATCCAGAGTTTTGATTTTGTTCGAAATTTCCTCCTTCTTGTTGTCCATCATTTATTTGTTGTTGATTGTTGAAACCACCTCGGAAGAAACGGCGACGAAAGTATGGGCGTCCTCGACCACCACGAAATGGTCGTCCACCACCACCACCACCATTTCCTTCAATAAATTGTCCATCACGTGGCGGTCCACGACGGAATCCTCCACTACGACGAAAGCCGCCACGTCCTCGACCACGTGGTGAAAATTTACGATCAGCTGCAAATGGTGAACCTTTTACCGGTGTACCGTTCGGTCCGGTAACATTGGCTGCTTCATTTCCCTATATTATGAAAACAAAAAATGAGTAAACATAAAACCAAAAGTTTTAATAATAATTATTATTATACAAACTTTTTCGCCTTCAACAATATCGAATTCAACGGTTTCACCATCACCAACACTACGAACAGCTTTGCCTGGATTATTTCGTTTAATTGCCGATTGATGTACAAAAACATCTTCACCTTCTTTATCATTACGTGAAATAAAACCATAGCCATTTTTTACATTGAACCATTTTACTGTTCCAGTGATTCTGGTAGCTAATAAATAAATAACAAATTATTAATCAAAAAAAAAAAAAAAAATGTCATTATTTATTTCACACATACATACAAATCTTACAACAACAACACCTGAATCAGCAAATCTTTATCCTCCTTACAAATACATCATCATTCACATTGTGTACATGTGTCGCGTTGGCAATAATCATCATCAAAATAAATAAAAAATTGTCGAATTGGATAATTTATTTTTTTCACCATAATCTAATAAACAATTGTCAATCGTATGCAATAGCCAATTATTATCAGTATATAATAATCACGATATTTTTTTTTGCCAAAAATTGTTTTTAGGATACAAAATCCAAGTTATAAATTTTTTTTTTTCATTGTTGGTTTAAGTTTTCAAACCAAGTTGAGAAATGATATGCGGAAGAATTTCAATTCTACGTTTTAAATTCGAATATAGCACAAACCCACACATACACACACACACACACAGGATAGAGATTCTAAATTTAGCCATTCGAATTCTGGCAGCTTAGAATTGTGAACAAAAAATTTTTCTTTGTTTCACATACTTATAAGATATATATCAAAAGATATAATTCACATTGTGTGCATGTGTTTTTTTTTGTTATTTGTCGATTTTTTTCCATTTAGACTTACCGATAATTTTTTTACCCTGATTTGAATCACCATTTTTACCATTACTATTATCGGCAACAATACCATTCGATGATTGTGGTGAATCATTCAATGATGATGAATTATTATCCAATTGATTTGAACTATCAACTTCAGCCATTGTTTACAAACTTTTGTTGATTTTTCTAATAATAAAAAAAAAAATTCCATTCGATACATATGCACAATGAAAATGAAAAAAGGGAAACAATTAATAAATCAATCAATTACAAAAAAAAACGGTAGAATGTTAAATAAACTAACCTGGGATTTATGATTTGGTAAACGTCGATTATTAAATCGTGTTGTTGTTGTCGTTGTTTAGTCGTATGCCCGGTGTGCAATATTTTTTCCTATTAATTATATGCTGTTGTTTTCGATCCTTTTTTATTTTCTTTTTTTTTTACTGGGGAGATTTGAATCTTTTATAAGTTGTTCTTAAAGATGGAAGAATTAGATGGATGATAATGACGATAATGTTATTATTTTCATTGATCAATACATTCAATCTTCTTTTGTTTTCTATCCTTTTTTTTTGGATGTTTTAAATTAATCTGATGATCTTAATATAGATGTTAATTGTTTGTTGATGTTGCATTTATTTTATTCATTTATACGGTGTCCATATAAAATAAATTCTTGGTGTCGGATGTTTTGGACACATCAATACAATACAATACAAACAGACACACACACACACGCGTTGGTGCCAAAGGATCGATAGAGATGTTATGTGATGATGGTTTGGTTTGATTATAATTTTTTTTTTTGAGATGGTAATGGCGGATGACTTGATGATGATAATCAAGAAATTCTCTCGTTTTCTCTCCACATTACACAAGCACACACACACACACACACATTTTATTTCGCCGTTCTTTCCACTCGAGGATCTATCTTACTGGCGCTTTCTTTCATTCATTCTATTCATTCATTCATTATATGCACAAAAAATTCTCTTCCTGCTGCTGCAACATCTACCATGTGGCGGCAGCAGCAGCAGCAGCAGCAGCAGTAGTAGTAGTATTTGTTTTAAACGACGCGTATTTGTAATATGTAAAACGCATGCGTATTTTGTTTTCTTCCAGTTATTGTTCGATTCATGGATACGCCTCTCTCTTTTTGATCATCATGAGTAGTGGTATATGCCGGCAAACCCATGGATACTATTCTATTAGTTTTTCTTTATTCAATCAATAGATGTTGCTAGTGTAGTTAAAAAAAATTTTTTAAGTTTTTTTTTCAAAAAATTTTATTCAATTTTTTTTATACAAGAGAATCAATTGCAAAATTAGTTGATTTTTTCTGCCGCATTGTACCGTTTTTGAATTGTCGTCGGCCATATTTTTTCCGCCGTTTCTGTTGCAATATAAAACGTTTATGTTGTTTTTGTTTAGCGTCATATTTTTCGGCTGTTTTTTGATTTTTCAATGATGATTTTTTTCGTAAACTTAATGCTCTGATCATATTCAATTGTCTTTCTTTGGATGTTTGATTAATTTTTTGAATCAATTCCGGTGAGAAAAATTGTTCCTCTTCATGTGTTTCATGTAGACGAGCATCATCAGCTTTAAAAAAGAATCCACCAAATGTGATTGATTGATTTGATTTTTTCGATCTTTCTGTAGCGAATTTGAATCATGAATTTTTATATTAATTTTACCATCATCTTCATCATTATCACTGGAATCATTATGACGATTTTTGGCTAAAAATTTTGGCAGTTTCGGAGCTTGAATCGGTATTTCTTCATATTCTTTTTGGTCATCGTCTTTATCGTGTTCATTTTGTCCGAAAATCGATGATCCAAATGTAAAATCTTCGGTTTGGCCATCGAATAAATTTTTTAGATTTTGACCAACTTCATAATAGCATTCGTTTTGGTTTTCATTCAATTTTAATTTCTTACAATCGTTGTTTGTTTCAATTTGTTTTTGAAGCTCAATTTTTCGATCAATTTCATCCAGATTTATCGATGAAAGTTTACGTTTTCGATTCGATTCATTCCCAGATTGTTTCAATTCATATTGGCTACATTCTTCTTTGGTTGGATCAAATCTTGGAACGAATAATGATGGTTTTGTGGTTGGTTTTGATTTCCATGGTGGATTTAGATTTTTACCGATAACTTTTTCAAGAATGTTTAAATTTTTTTCTTTTTCCACTTCAATCTCGGATTTCCATTTTGAATTTCATCATCATCATCATCATCTTCAATGAATCTTTCATCGATGTGAAAACGAGAATCATGTGCCAGACGGGATTTTAATTCAATTAATTTCGATGTTTTCTTTTCCGATAATTGTTTGCCATTGAAAATTTTATCTTCAAAATTCAATTCTTCCTCATCTACATCTTGTTCGTCATCATTATCATCGAATAATTTCAATTTATTTGAATTCATTTTTTAATGAAATTTTTCAACAACAACAACAAAAAATTCGAAAACAAAACACAAATGCAATGAACATGCATGTTACAAAAATATACAGCTGATTTCTAATCCACGTGACAGAACAAATGTTTTCGGGAATATTTTTTTTCCCATTTACAATTTCCAAAAATTTTCTCTCAAAAAGCCAATTTTTCCACCACTGAGATGATAACTAATTCATAGACCTTGAGTGAAAAAAAAAATCTACAATCAATCAACGAGGGCAATCATTAATGATGACATCAATGATATTGATACAATCCGGGTACATAAACAAAAATTTAATCTAATCAAATTACTCATAAGAAGAAAAAGAAATGAAAAGGCTAAAAAATTTCAATAATGATATTTTTCTGAGAAAAAAAAATTATCATCAAAGGATAAAATCACCATGATCCGTTCATCATTATTGATAGGAGAAATTAAAAACCACCATTCATTCCGATGATGATGACGATTATTCCATGGAATTCAATCAATTTTTTTTTCTGACAACAAAAAGTACATAATTACTACCATTTTTTTTATATATATATTTAGCCATGTTTATTTAGGTAATTTTTGATTATAATTTGAAAAAAAACATTCGCACCGGATACTCGTAGGGGAATAAACATTAAATCATTATCGTCAACGAGATTAATGACGACAATTAAATAGAAAATTACCCAACAACCACAACAACAACAACTGATGATTAAGGACAACGAATGGTCATCATCATCATCATCATCATATGACAATTATCGATCGATTATTATTATTATTAGAAAAAAACTAACAAAAGATTCAGAAATATTTCGTACATTTTTGTCACAAGGGGATTCATATGATGTGCTTTGTTGTTCGAATCGAATATTCGAATCATTTAGATGCTATTTTTAAATTTTTTTTTTTCGTGAGTAATAAAAAATCCAGAAAATTCTGAAGGAAAAAATACGTCATTTTTTAACAAAAAAAAATCACTGGCATTGTGTGTGTGTATGTGATAATCTTTGGTTTAATGTGAATGATTTAGCAAGAACACACACACACACAGATCTTTGGATTTTTCCCAAAATTGTCATTCATTCATTCCAATCATGCATGACAAGTTTAACAACAACAACAACAAGGCCAAACACTTTTATTTCAATCTTTTCTGATCTGGAATTTGTTTCGATGAGATGAACACACACACACAACGTTTTTAATAATCTTTCTCTCTCTCTCTCTCTTAACTAACTCTGATACACAGCTGATGTTTGATGGATTATGGAAAAAAAATTCATTTGAAAATCACCACCATCATCATCAAGATTTGATCACAACAACAACAAAATAAAGAAAAAAAAACAAAATTCGAATTATCACCACTATATTACCACTACTACTACAAAAATTAATTTAACCGTATTTAAATAGTTTGTAGTAGCAGCGTTGATAGTAGTAGTAGTAGTAGTAGTAGTAGCAGTATTGAAATGAAGTAATTAGCCTCAATTTTTTTTTCGAATACATTTTTTTGTGTGTGTCAGTGTGGTTGATGTATCAAAATACAAAAAAAAAAAAAATTTTAATTTCAAATTTATAAATCAAATAAGAAAAAAAACTGACTGATGATAATAATGACGATAAAAAATTATTGCCCCCAATTTTTTTTTTGTACTTTTTTTCAATTTTTTCATTTTTGTTTTTGGATTTCAAATGATGATGATGGCCTCTGGTTGTTGTTGATGATAGTGGTAGAAAACAAACACATGCCACATAGAAAAAAAAATTGCGTATTTGTTTGCGCGGTATGCCCAAATACATACATATATTGTGTGACACACACACACACACACAGAGAGAAAGAACTATTCTCTTTTTACACAGCAAAATACAGAAAAAAAAACAAATCATCAGTCAGTCAGTCATATATCAAGCAGTCATACAAGTTTGAAAAAAAATATACAGAAAAGAAGTCATCAAAGCCTGGGCAACAACATACATAAACACAAAAAAAATCTCGTGAGTTGTGTGTTTTGTTTTTTTTGTATTTTGTATTTTGTATTTTGAATGTGTGTGCGTGGAGAAAAATAAAAGTAAAATTTTTTTCTCTTTACATTCTTAATCCATTATTCATCATCATCATACTCATCATCATCATCATCATCATAATCATTATTTGGAAAACTTTTGTTCGTTTCGCTTCTTATTGTGATTCTGGATCTGTGTGGATTCATTGAATTCTTTACTTTTTTCTTCTGTTGAAAATTTAATGCAGTGAAGCATGATTTTTTCTTTTTTTTTTGTCTCTGTGTGTATGATATGATCGTGTTTAGTACAAAGAAAAATTCTTCATAACATTTGGATAGGGAAGGAGTCAAATCAATTAATTTCTGATGAAAAAACGGCTATAGAAAAAATTGATTTGAAAAACGACATTTAATGAACAACGACATCGACGACTACGATTGCATTATTTCATCCCACTCGCATCCATAAACAAAAAACATTTGATTTCATTTGTTTGTTTTGTTTTTGTTTTCATCCATGACAATCTGAACATCTTGCTTTAAAATTAGCAATTCCTCATCATTGTACCTTTCAATTGAAATTTTTTATTTTTTTTTTACAATATCCAATTCGAACGTCATCAGAATCATTCAAAATTGCTCAATTACCAAATTTACGTTTTCAGCTTGGTTTAGCTGACATATTTGATCTCAGCCAATCATTGGTGAATATGTGGAGTTCACCAAAGCTAGATCATGCTTCACATCTGGATCAATGTTTTGCCGAATTAATTGTCGAATGTCGACAAGCGGGTACGTATATTATTTTTATTTTTATTTTTTTTTTGTTTGCTTTTGTATTTACTTTTTTTATCGATTATATTATCCGGTTAATATATGGTCGTAATTATAGACGTAATTCTACTATTTTCAATCATCTATGACGTATATTAATAATTAATAATAGTCAATTAATCGATAAATGAACACCAACAAATTTTTTTTTTGTTTGTTTGTTCATGGACATATGAGGCACAGGAAATTTGTTTCTATCACCGTCATCATCATCATATATAATTGTTATATGATCGATGTATTTTAGACTATTGTTGTACATTTGCATTGTATGAGGCGTTATTTTGGTTTTGATTGATTTTTGTTTTGTTCTCTAATTTTTTTTTCTTTTGATCAAATCCTATTATAAATCATTTAATCAATATATAAATCGATACCCTAACACATTTATTTTTAAAACATTGCTACCTTTGACTTTTTATCTTTTTTTCTTAGTGATTATTTATCTATGATGACATTTTGACATTGAAAATTTTTGTTGTGTGTATATATGTGAATTATTGATAAGAAAAGAAAAAAATGTAACAATCGATGAAAAGCAAGTACAATACCAGCAACAATTCTTGACATGAATAGTTCTTTTCTTTAGAACTATAGTTTACCATTGAAGGTTTTTTTTTCTTGTTTGTTTTGAAATTTAACTTTGCCAAAAAAAAAAAAATTTTTTTTTTTTTTTTTGAGAATTTCATCAGAATATATAAAGACGTCAAAATGTTTTTATTGTTTGTTTGTGTGTGTGTGTGTTTGTGAATGTATGTGTATGCTGCATTGTAACCACAAATAATCGAGAAAAACAAAGGGAAAAAAATTTAAAAATATCTTTTTGATGACATTCAAAATAAAAAAAAAAAAAAATTTCATTGAGAAGTTTCTTTTGTCTATGATTAACCTGATGTGTGTTTGTTTGTGTGTATGTGTGTGTGTGTGGTTATATTACGTAATTAATACTATAAATGCAAAGGGAATGTTTGGATTGCAAATAAAAAAAAATTGAATGATTGCCGACTTTCAAGAGAAAGAGAATTTCTAAAGAATTATCAAGGTTTTTTTCGTGTTTTCATTTCTCAACATTTTTTTTGCCTTGGTTCTGTTTTTGTCATTTCATTTTGTTTTTTTTTTTTTTATTTTTTTTTAATTTCATTTCATTTTTTGTCTATTAATAGCACCAGGAGCAAGGTTAACGTATTCATTACGTAATCGTCTGGAAAAATTGACACTTGATGAACGGAAACGTATTGTAAATCGTTTATATGAAGGATGTTCATCATTGTTTATGGCATGTAAACGCGGAAATGTTGACATTGTTGATTATTTAATTGAACAATGTGGTGCCGATATCGAATTAAAAGGTATATATGAAGTACATGATGATCGTTCAGTACATTTGGTCACACCATTATGGAGTGCAGCTGTTGCTGGAAAAATTGAAGTAGTCAAATGTCTTGTCAAACATGGTGCCAATGTGAATAGCCTTTCAGATACTGGTTCAACACCGGTACGTTCAGCTTGTTTTATGACCAATTTAGAGGTGGTAAAATTTCTAACGGAAAATGGAGCCAATATTTGTAAACCTAATTATAATGGTGGTACATGTCTGATTAATTCTGTACAAAGTGTACCATTATGTGAATATTTGCTCAAGAATGGTGCCGATGTTAATGCACAGGATATACAGCTAAAAACTGCATTACATTATGCTATACAGGAACATAGAATTGAAACGACAATTTTATTATTGGAACATGGTGCAGGTAAGTCCATTGACATTGATTATTCTATTAATCATTAATGAAATTCGATTTCCGGACTTTTTATTACAAATTTTTTCTTTCTATTTGTCTATTTTTATGTTATGTTATGGAAACGAAAACGAAAAAAAAGATCCATTCAAACCAAATCGCTATGGTGATGATGCATTACAAACAGCATGTCTGAAAGGCGCTCATCCAATATTTGTTTATCTTGTCGAAACATTAAATTATAGCCGTAAACGATTAGCCGAAGCATATGAACTATTAGGTTCAACATTTCTTGATGAACATTTTGATCTGAATTTAACGATAAAATATTGGAAACAAGCATTAGAAATACGTAATGAAGATCCGAAAAATATAATCAAGA